CCATTCACATTCATGCTTTGCAATAATGGCTGTGCTTTCATTTTGAATGGCACACCAGTACACTATTACAGTGGTGGGCAATACAATTGCACTGCAGAGCATAACACATGTAATGCATTGCAGTACACTGTAAAAAAAAAAAAAAACGTTTAATTTTCACACACGAACACGCAACTGTTACTGCAATGTGCAGTGGGATCGAAGCCAAAGAACAACACCTTTTCAGATGGAAGTTAAAAGGCTAAAAACAGCCATAGATGGATTGAATCTCTGCTGGGTCAGCAGGGACAGGTCAAGATTCGAACCATCAATGGGCAGGCTGATTGTACCCAATTTGATTGTTGCACGACTTGGGTACAACCAGCATGTCGGATTTTTCCATGCAATTATTGCCAGTGGCTGGAGCCGCTAGCAATTATCACTGTGTTCTGCTAGCAGGGCTGGCTCCCCGCCGGGAGAACACAATAGCTCTGCATGAGGGATTCCCCCATCAACACTGCAACTAGTATGCAGTCCATGAGTTGGGGAATGGCTGCTTCCTATAGAGCCTCTGCACATGGGCATTATTTTCATTACGCTGGCCATGGCTATGTAGGGACTTCTACAGGACCACAGGATAGAGGATATCTACGGTGGCAGAGGGATAGCACTAAAACATATACTTTAATTATTTATTTATTTAAATGTGCACTTACCCTTTTAAAACATAAAAAGCAAATCAAGTAAGCTTGCAAATGACTATTATCTTTCTGCTTCTGTCCCCTGAGAGCTCTCCCAATGATTCTGAGCTGACAGTTTAAACTGTGCTGATAAAGCATCCTCAGCAACCCTTTAAGCCCTGGTTCACACTGATGCGGTGCGGAATTTGCAGCTTTTGCAATCCAAATTCCGCACCGCATCACAATCGCACCCCGTTCATGCAAACCACTGCGGGGGTGTATGTTAACAACGTGGTGCATTTTGCAGAATCGGATCACATAGGTGTGCATACACATGCGAACAGATTCTAGTGCAGACCCAAAAAAGGGTCCTGCACCTTTTTAGTGCGGGTGCAGTATGATTAGAGCCATACAAAATGTATGGCTCCAATCGCACTGCACACAAATCGCATGTGATTTGCACAGGAATGCAGTGCGGTTCCTGTGCGAATAACTTGCAATATACCGCACCGCATATATGTGAACCCAGGCTAAATGAGTACAGAATTTGCTTACTCAGCTCCTAGCTTACAGTATTCCTCCAATACAATATTGGAGCACAATTTGTAAAAAGCATAATATACTAAAAAGTAAGCATGTTTATTCTGGGAATCAGGTTTACCTGGCAGCTATTATCTATGGGCTTCATGGTATAAACCAGTGGTCTCCAAACTGTGGCCTAAGGGCCAAATGCGCCCCTTTGCTTGCTTTTGTCTGGCCCTTGGGGCACTATTTCATCCACTGATACCAACAATGGGACATCATTCCTCACCACTGACACCAATGAAGGGGCACAATTCCTCCTACTGACATCAAAGATGGGGCATTTTATTTTTCTCACTGATGTCAGGACCTTTTCTACTCCCAATGGCCACAGTCTGGCCCTTTGTTTTATACCAGGGGGTCTCCAAACTTTCTAAACAAACAGCTTGCACTAAAGAGATGCCTTATTTCATGTTTTTTTTCTTCCAGAGATTTCAGCAACTTCCACCATGTACAGGAGAAATAGATTTTTCAGGACTACTGCTGCTGGTATTTAACCAAACAAGTTTAAGGAGTACAAATAACTCATCTGAACGGTACACCTATTCTTTAAATTGGCCTTACACATCATTATTGCAACATTTTCTGCAAAACTATGCTATATTCACTCTGTGAAGGCTGTATAAATAAGCTTGACTTCAGAGGACCAGCAGCCAAATCCTATAAAAACAAAAAAACAGGCAGATTTCTATTGTGGAAAAGATTCAAAAAGAAAAAAAAAAGAAAATACATTTTACCTTTATGTCAACAATGTTTTTCTAATTGTACACTGAACCATGCACTCCCAACATCTGCTGGAATGAATTAACCAATCAAGAGTGGTTAAAATCCCAAAACCTGGAAGAAGATGTAGCAGCACTGCAGGGGTCCCTTTGGCAGGTAAGCCTACCATGGGCAACATAATGAGGGCAGGGACTGATGTGAACATACAGTATGTGTGTAAAGCACTGCATATTAAATTAAATAAAGAGCAAATGTACGTGCTTTTTGCCATAATGTGATTATCACACTTTTTTTTTCCTTACTAACAGTTCCTGATAAGTTTCATGTATGGTCATCAGCTTAAAGAGTCATTGCTAAACATAATTACCAATGATAGTGTAAGGAACAGCCTTAGTACACATTGACTACTAATGTACCGTTCTATAGTTACCGGTTTCATCTGCCCATTTACAATGTATATAACTTACCTTCTTGAGTTAACATTGCATTTACAGTAACATACAGAAGATCATAATAAACAGACATACAGGCTGGCCTTGATAATGTATGGCAGGGAAATAAGCATACCCAGTATTGCGCAGTTCTTCAGTACCCAGGCTAGTGGAAAGTCACTTGACCTGGTGTAGGTCACAGCACAAGGAAATAATCATCTGAGGTCAATGTTGGAATATATATTTTTGATGGGGAAGCAAAAACAAAAACAAAAAACCTTTCCTTAAATACACCCTTCTAGTTCAGTCTGGGAGAGTTGAATACAATTTTCATTGGAAGTGCTGTAATCTTAAAAAAATAAATAAATAAATAAAAAATTGGTTTCAGAAAGCAGTATTGCTTCTTGAAGCTTTATAAAAGCCTGCCAACAGTTAAGGGTCACTGCACACAATGCATTGTAGTAATATGCAGAAAAAGGTGCATTTTGCTGCTAAGTAGTAATGCACCGAGGCTGCTATTGCTGTGTCATTCATTCTGAATGGCAACCAAATAGACCATAACACACATTCTGGTGGTGAAGTTCTCTGAGTACCAGCCTTTGTACAGTGAAGTATAGTGTTGTTTAATCACTTCCCCCTCCATTCATAAAACATCTTGTATTCCTTTCACAGAAAACAGGTAAATCTGTAATTGGACAAGGGGGAGGCTGGTAATTAATTCACCTTCCTTTCCCTTTGTCCAATCACAGAACACCTTGTATTCTGTGAATAGACCCCAGACATTACAGGGATGGATGAAGGGGTAAGAAAGGGGAGCATAAAGGACAAGATCCTGCACTGTATGTGTGCCGGAACCTGGAACTCAGACCTGCAGAGCTGAAGATCAGAGCTGGCAGTAGTATCTGGCAAGAAAACAACTTCCAAATTAGCTGTAGCCACAAGCTGTTCCGAGTATTCTTAGCTTTTTTTTTTATTTTATATATGTTGCTGTAGAAGGCCTCCAACCCAGGTCACCTTTTATAAAAGTTTGCGTTGATTCAATGCAGTGTGGGCACCTTTCTATAATATAACACGGGCCCCTTTCATTAGTTGGATGAGATGCTGCACCCTCTTCTTTGCATTGTGGGATGCAGAGGGGTGTACCACTACTTGACCTTGGTGCAACATTTTAAGAAGTGCTGGTGCCACCAACATGAAAATTAAAATCAGGGTTCTCAAAATATGAATCCTGCAAACTTTTACTTGTTCATTGCATGAAAATAATCTTAAGCACCTACAGCAGTCTGTCTTCGGTGAACAGGCTGCCGAGAGGCATCAATACATCGTATGATAACAGCTATGTCTCTGCAGTGGTTTCATATGCCCCAGACTGAGCTAAAGCTATGCAATCATCAGGGAGCAGGAGTTCTGCTGATTATACAGCACATGCTCTGACTCAGCAGAGGTTGTCTCAAACCACTGTAGAGAGACCACTGCTTCCAAACAGACAACAGCAGTCTGACACTCCTCAACCGCACACTAAAATCTAGGCAATCGGTCAGGAGCGCACGTTTTGGGATTGCCTAGCTCTAGCTCAGGAAGGGGGGCACTTTGGACTCTTCTAGAGAACACCACTTCCACACAGAGCAGTGTAGTCCTCTCCACAGCTTTCTTGCTGGGCACACACTTTGCAACACATGCTTGAGATCATGTACAAGTGAAAAAACATTAAAGCCTCATTCACAGGAGCGCTTACACCGGTAGTACGTGAATAGGCCATGTCTTTAAGCAGCTGAAGCCACCAGTACCATGTGCAGGCAGTCCATTCATGTCAACAGGAATGCAGTGGGTTCACCGACACAGAACGGCTGTCAGATTGGGATGATTGACAGTGTCTAAACAACTGCTGTATCTCCATAGACATGAATGGACTAATTGTAGGCAGTACCTGATGGCTCCAACTGCTTAAAGACATGATCCGATCACAGACTACAGGTGTAAGCTCCCCCGTGAATGAAGCCTAAGACTTCACAGGAGTACCATTTTCTTCACCTGGAGTTTAATTATTCAATTTTTCTAGATGGTACGGTTGGGCCTTAAGTACCAACCCTAGGATTTTTTTTTTTTAAAGTAAATTAATACACCATTACCTACAGGAAAACCCATAGCAAGACGATGGAGGTAAGAGAAGGCAACATATATTAGACCCATATATTTCAAACACATAAAATGTCCCTATCCATTTTAATTATATTAAAAAGATCTGCTCTGTTGTGCACAATTTAGAACAAATCCACTCTCTGGAGGGGCAAGAAAGAAAAATAAAATAATAAAAGGAATGATAGATTATTGTCCTACTACTCCATTCAGACCATGAACAATATTTATATCTGATAGCACAAAATAGAGTACCTCCTCTGTGTTCCAGATGTCCATAAAGAACTAAAGGCAGAAGTCATTTTATAACATTGTATAAAAAACATCTTGATTCAGTCTCAATAAAGATAAGAATAGAGGTGAAGTATAAAATCCAAATTTATACGTTTCATTTCTGTACACTGAAGTTCAAGTTTGAAGGTTTCCCTTGACAAAACACAGGAAGAATACTGAGCGGAAAAGGTGCCAATCACATGATATACGTCCCATCCTTGTAATATTTTATGGTGTCCATCTGTTGTGTCATGACCAAGACTTCTTGGAACCCTGTGCTAAGGCCAGACATATGTTGGAAGTAGGCCTCTTTCTCCACTTGGATAGTAAGGTTATTGACTCCAGCATCTTTCAGTATTGCAGTTACCTAACAGAGAAAAGGGCAAAGGTTATGGCAGTAGTAAAACTTAATATAAAAGTTGTGCACAGCCAAAACAAAGGAAAAAAAAAAAAAACCCTAAAGTGAGCCATTGCACAAATAAGTATCAAAATTTAATTTACAAATTAAAAAACAAACAAAAAAAAATATCCTAACCCATAAAAAAAATCCCACTTACTGTATAGGTCAGTATGGAACACCCCAATAAACCATACAAATGGAAACCTATGCGCTAAGCCGAATATATATCAAAAACCATATATATTATGTTGCAGCTCCTCGCTATTGTGTGTTCAGACACCAATAAAAATGATTATGGAAAAAGTGTAGTGCAACTAAAATGTGTATAATCCAATATAAATGTGCAATTTTTGTTTTTTAAATAAAAAAAAATGTTTTAATCTTTTTTATGACATTTTTTTTTCTTGCACATTTATATTGGATTCTGCACATTTTAGTTTCACAACACTTTTTCCATATTGAAAAACATGATGTATACCCACAATAATAAAAAGGTTTTTACTGTTGTCTGGGGAAGACCCGGGTCTTTATATCATTCATGAGTGTTAATAAACTGCATACTCACGCCGTACCTCAGTAATGTATAAAAGCAAAAAATCCAGCAAGTCAAAGAAATTCAAATGTAGACAAAGGGAAATAGATAAAATGTAATGGCTAGGATGAAACTGAATGCAAGGGAGGCAGGAATATAATTGCCCAATCCTAAAAGGTAGAGCCACCAACAAACCCCAGCACTGTGCTTAACATCCCAAAAGACTTCAGCTATACCGCTGTTTTATAAAGTGGGACTGTAAGAAGTACCTTAGCAGTAAAAGATCTGGAGATCTTTGTTAGGAAAATGTTATCAGCCAGTACATCACTAAAATAAAACTGTGCATATTTATGTGTACAGGGAGGAAAGAAAACATCCCACCCAATGTGTAACCACTACTTAATGGTCCATGGGGCTTTACCTGTTGGATGATTCTCTGCTCCACAACATCAGACATCACTTGTACATGGATAGTCCCTGCAATAATTGAAGCAGAGTGACGCCAAAAATGAGGATCCCGATAAGATATAAGACCATCAACCTTCGATATCTGAGAGAGAGAGAGAGAGAGAGAGAGAGAGAGAGAGAGAGAGAGAAGTCCTTTTTTTTAATCTTACTATGGAAATTACTTGCAGCATTTTTGCTTTTGCCTTCATTTTACAGTCAATGCATCTACAGCACAGAAATATGAAAATATGTTCTTAAAATATATGTAAAACTTGCATGCATTAAAGCCTGTTTCTGTGCAAAAAAATTTAAGTTTTCCCATGCAGTGGAGCTGTGCCCATGCGGTCTAGGTGAAAAAGGAGATATACTTGCCTAATCCTCCAATCCTTCAAGCACAGGACCGATTCGGCACCCCTGTGCTCCAGCAGTCTTGAGTTGTGGACTGTTCCTGACATCATCAAGCAGCCTCCATAGACCAGGAGCAGCCCACCGCTGGACTGTGGGGGAGCGCCGCTTTCCAATGGAACAAAGGATCAGGTGAGTATAAGCTCCTTCCTCACCCCTAGACAAAATGAACAGTTGACCCATGCGTGCAGGCACAGCCCAACTGCATTAGAATTTGTTTTTTTTTTTTTTGCCTGAAATTGGTCTTTAAACATGGCCAATTGGTGTAAAGCAGCAAACCTCTTGTGTGAAAACCATGAATATTTATGCAGTGTCTGCAGCACCCTAGCACCCTCTAGTGGTCAGCTGTAATAAAAGCTATTCAGAAACACAGTAAGGCCCAGTGCAGATGGGCTTATGTTTGCTTACTGCTTCTCCTGTTATACAAGTCTATAGGAATGCAAAAAAAATGCTTCAAACCCATCTCCGGGGTTTAAAATTTAATTCCATCCCACCACCTCTAACTGATCGCTAGCATGAAAAAAAAAATAGAAAAAAATCGAAATACCCTCTTTCACCTATCATGAGCCATAGTTGAGTGACACAATTTAGATGACTATAACTGGCTTCATCAGGATTATTATTATTATACAGTATTTATAAAGCGCCAACAGTTTGCTCAGCGCTGTATATTACAAAGGGGGACAGAACATGCGACAGTACAATAACAATACAATGTGATACCCGAATGGGTTCGAGGATTAAAAGAAAAAAAAAAAACAACAATGTGAATGGATTAGAGGAGGATCATTTTTTGCCTGGAGCTAGGCTTTAAAGCAGTTCAAATGCACCTGTCATTGAATTTTAACTCATCTCAGAAGCATCCCCAAAATGGAGTCAAAACGCATACCATGGACACAAGCCCAAAGCCTCATTTAGCCCTGGTTCACACTATAGCTTGCATGTGAATTGCACAGGTACAGCACAGCATTCCTCTAGGTTCACATATGTGCTGGTGATTACAGCTGTGGAAATGCACCTGTTTTCACAGCCGCAATCACCTGCACAGAAAAAAGCAGGAGCTGTGTATGGGTGCTGTCAATGCTCCCACACGGGGAACTGTGCTGTACTGCACTTGCGGTTCCAATGCGGGCTGCAATTTGTAAAATGCTGCAGGGACCTTTTTTCTGTAATTCAGGAGGCATGGCAGCCCATTCAAATAAATGGGCTGCTGTGCTCACGCAAAACGCGGCTCTAGCACCTAGCTTTTATGTGCGATTCACATGCGATTCAGTGCAGTGCGATCTGAGCCCATTCAAAGCCACACTGCAACTGGCTTGCATGGTTGTTTTGTATTATGCAATCAGGTGCAGGCAAATGCATGTGTTTGGGGTGTCAATATCCTTGTTCTGACACCCGTCGCTGATTGCAAAACAAAGTGCGATAGCGATGCAGGGAGAGCACAGGAATCAATGCGTTTCCTGCACCACATATCTGTAGAACTAGACTTAGCAGTATGAATTTATAAGGTGTTGCCCATAGCAAATTATTTTTTCCTTTTAATTTTCCAGTGTATTTGGAACAAAGGGATGGGATGGGTTATAGAAACAGTTGTCCTTTCATCCAATTGGAGATGTTTCTTAGAATAGCAAAACATTGGACTACCAGCTGTGGGGAGTTACTGAAATATAAAAACCCCATTGTAAATAAAACCAAATGGGTGACCTTGATGAAAGTGTCCAGCTCTATGTTCTCATTGGGAAGGCACAGGCCAACTGCAATAGCAAACCAATATATGCCAAATTCCCCTCCAGCCCACCTCCCCAGAACTCCATCCAGTCTTACCTTCTCCAGGGCGATGTTTATTCCTTTCTCTATTTCTGGAGGGATTCGAAGGAGGATCACCTGGCAGGCATCTTTCAGCAGAGGGATGACACTTCCAAATATCAGAATAGCAATGAAGAGAGAGCAGAGAGGATCAGCAATGAGCCAACCAAACTGCCGAATCAGAATGGTGGAGACTATCACACCCACACTGCCTAGAGTGTCAGCCAGTACATGGAGGAACACACCTGGATGGCAAAACAAGAGGTTAGATAGAAGTTAATGAACTGGAAACAATGACACGTTATATGTTGGATTTCCAAGTTGGTATATGTAATTTTGTATGTATCTATACTTTTCATTAAAACTTTTACTTCCACCCCTTGCTGCATGGTATTTTACAGAGTGTCATCTGTACTCTGCGATCCAGACATTGAATGCTATACTGCACATCTGTAAGATCAGCCTTCAGAGTGGAAGATGGCCTGTGTTGCACAGTGCTATTGATCAACATTCTAGTATGAGAGGGGAACAGAGAGATGACCACAGCAGTGTGCACCTTCATTGTCCAAAGGACAAAATGGGTCCAGGGCTAGGATATACATCCTAACTGTAGTGTACTCTACAGGGGTTCCAGGACCTGGCTGTGCGGTCAGGCGGAGGTACGTGGATCATCTGGCTGCATTGATTTACAAATTCTTTGGCAGGTAAACAGTTCACACATATGTGGTTTAAAGCAGCATTAAGCCCAAAAGCAGACATATTGCAGTTTACTAATTCGTAGATGTGGTGGCTGCATTAGTTTTCTTTTTAGGCTTTGTTTCAGTTATTGAGGCAAGCCATTAACCAATGATAGGGGTGCTTCAATGATCAGCTATTTATTGAAAACATTTATCCCAATAGAAAAAAAACTGCTCTAACTGCTTATAAAATGTTAGCTGTAGTTTGGCTTCAATGTGTTATCTACTACTCCATCTAACACTCTTCTCACCCAAGATGAACAATGTTTCTATCCAAAAAGTACCCCCTGTGCGCCTTCATTCAGTGGGGGCACTCTAATACAGGAGGTGTGTTACTGGCCAGAGCACCAGGTGAAAACAGAGGGAAAGAAAACTAATGCAACCACCACATCTGATGATTGGTAAGCTGCAATATGTTACATTTTTTGGTTTAATGCTGCTTTAATTATATGTGTTTGTCTGAAGTAAGCTTTCATTTATGGTAGGTACTGAGAACTGTACAACTAAACTTTTTTTTTAATAAAGATTACAAAAACGTCCAGATCTTGAAAATCATCTGAGACAACTTAGCAAATTTGTCTGAAGTATTCAGGAACACCTTATATGCAAAAAGTACAATTGTGTCCTACAATTTTTTTAAAGTGCTCAGTGCTTCCATGACCATATACCTACCACGCATGTTGGCATTCATGCCTCCACCAGATCCATGGGAATGTCCATGATTGTGAGTATGCCCATGATCACCATGTGAATGCCCATGTCCATGACTGTGCCCGTGGCCATGGTGAGAGTGGGCGTGGGATTCATGAGAGGAACATCCACCTCTTGAACCACCATGGGAGTGGGCGTGGCTAAAGGCACAGATACCAACAAGGTTAACCAGCAGACCTCCAACCGAAACTGGCTGTAAGACAAGAAGAAAAGAAAAAAAAAATAAGGATCAGTAAAAGTAACAGGAAGACACAGGATGATTTATGAAAACCATAACAATAAATGGCACTGGCTCTACACTCTTGATAAGTAAGCAAAGTATGCAAAACAAACATGTATTTCTGGTGTGTTCACATAAATTCAGGTGTGAAAATTCAGCATGCTGTACTTTATTTAAAAGCACTACAACAGCATAAAGTAGACTCGATAAAATAAATTCCTTCTTCTTCTGATGTCTGCGGTGATACCTCACGTGTGGGACAATCGCTGTTTGCGTGCGAGCACAGAGGGAAGGAGGAGCTTTACATTTTTTACAAATTATTTTTCTTACACGATCACTTAAAAAGTTTTTGTGATCACTTTTATTGCTGTCACAAAGAATGTAAACATCCCTTCTGACAGCAAGCGACAGGTACTCTTTTATGGAGAGGTCTGTAAGACCCCAGATCCCTCCTATGCCCTTAAAAGCAATTGATCATACCAAGATTGGTGTGATCAAATGCTGGTCATTTTTTAAAAACGGCACAGTTTACATCCAGGGAAACCAGAAGTGATGAATGCTCATTGCTTCTGGTTTCCTATGACATATGGTTATGGTCTTTGCATCTATGATCACCTTACATCAGCTGGTCCCAGCGGGATGGAAAACCCTGAAAAAGCCCTGGAAGGAAAAGGGGGGGGGGGGGGGTTATTAACATCTCCTATCACTGCTTGTAAACTATATAGTGACTAGTTAGCCGCTAGGATTGCTCTTACAAGAGAGCCTGCCGTCGGCTCTAAAAAAAAAAATTGAAAAAGGTACCGGGATGATGCCTGTGGCTGCGGGTGTCATCCCAGTATACCCCCTTGAAGGCCAACAACATATGGGTATGTCACTGGTCTGGAAGTGGTTAAAGGACAATCGGTGTGTCATCGTCCACACCTCCCACACACAGTTAGAAAGAAAATACTGGAGATGTCAACGCTATGGTGACAATTCTAAAGTTAGGCAGATGTCTCCCCACTTGTTATTGGTGAGATGCACAAATCTATTAATGGTTTGTTTTTAGGTAGTACTTACTGTTAACATATCTGTATTGATGTCTGGAGGATCAAAGATTCTTGCTATAGCCTCAATAAACACAAAGAATGCTATCACCACCAGAAACAGACCGTTAATGAATCCTGACAGTATTTCCACACGGCCATACCTAAAATGGTATATGACAAAAACCACATTAATCCCATCACAGACATCACTGATCTTCCCCTGTGATTATAGTAGTACTAAATAAGCATTGAGTAGTATTGCATAAGTTGCGTTTGTATTTGGATGTATAGTCCGTTTTAAGTAACAAGACATCACAGAAAACAAATTCAGAGCTCCTCTTTTTGAATATCTGGGCAAACAGCTACAAAGCACAACTGAAACCAATATGCGTGCACTGTTTCACCTGTCAAAGGATTGGCAATTCTGCAAAGCTAGCATAGCGAGCCAGACACCCCTGTCAGACAGCTCAACCTGATCCTCAATCTTCCGGCACACTATACTGCAGTTAATGTAGGTTCACATCAGTGCATGTCTATGTGGGGGTGTTTGCATAGGCACAGCAGCCTATTCATTTGAATGGGTTGATGTACCTGTAGGAAAGTTGGGGTCTTTAAAACGCAGCCAAACAGAACTACATGGTGCTATGGCACCATGTGGTTTTACACATGCAAAACGTTTTCCAATATGTGGGGGTGCCTTTAAAAATTAATGGCACCCACGCATGTCTGAAAAGAGCAGCATGTTTTGCCTGCGGGGCTGGAATGCATACGATTATGCATGTCTTCCTGACATACATACATACATACATACATATATCTCTCAAAAGGCAAACACTTTTTGATAAAGTAGGGGAGGGCAAGATTGTTGCAGTTTTTTTTTTTTGTCATCGGTGTCTCAGTAGTAAGGAGATTTCCTTTTCACTTCCTGTCCTGGACACAAAAGAAGTGAGAGGTGTGCCAACTAAACTTTTTGGACCTACCCTCACTTTCATTCCCAGTGACACTGGTGATTAGAAGAGAGAGCCTCGCCTCAATAAGGCTACGTTCACACTAGCGTTGTGTGCAGGCGGCAGAGAGGCGTTTGGGAAGCGTTTTTACCGCTTCCCAAACGCCTCTGACAATTCTGCACATTGCAGCACATGGTGCTGTTCTAACGGGAGCGTTAGCGTCGTGGCAAAATGAACGCCTCTGGTCGAGTCAGGAGGTGTTGAAGCCTCCTATTCTAGTCTATGGTGCTGCGGTTGCGGGGCATTTGCAAAGCGGTAACACCATTCAAACTTCATTATAGGCGTTTGTGGGGTGTTTTTAATGCTCGGCAAACGCCTAGCAACCGCCGCTAAACCGCGCATGCGGCGTTTGCGGAGCATTAAAAAACGTTCCGCAAACGCCGGACCAGCGCTTGCCAAACGCTATAGGGGTGTTTGGCAAGCGTTGGTAAAACAGTCAAGTGTGAACGAGCCCTAATAGAGACACAGACAGCAGTAAAAACCTGACAAGGGTTCTAACCCCTCCCTCACCACTCTATCCAAATCTAAAAAATGTTTTGCTTTTAATTACACTTTAGGTCATGGTCCTGGATTCATCCCAACCTGTAGCTGGATGATAAAAAGGGCAGCACCACACTTGATGGGGTGTTACCAGAGATACATTTAAGTGTATTTGGATCAGAGTCTAAACCTGCCTGAGATATCCTGCCAGGAAGCGGTCACTGTGCACTGCCAATTAGAAGTAACTGCGGCTTAAGGTCAGGGCATGCTTTGGCTGCTTATGATTGGCAGTGTGCAGTGACAACTTCCTGTAGGGGTCGCTCAGGCAGCTCTTCACTAAGACCTCCCCTTCTGTAAGCATGTTCACATGTGCTGTGTGAAGCAGAAAGCTGAGATTGAAGCTACCACTTGCTCTTTTACTGTGAGCACTCTTATACAGGGGATTACAAAAGTCAAAACCGTTTCAGGTACTTATGCTAGTGCTATGTAAAAACCCATTTATCAATTTAATAATTGTGATACTGTATAAACTCAATGGTTTTGTTGTTTTTAAAATGTAAAAAAAAAAATAAATATATATATATATATATATATATATATATATATATATATATATATATATATATATATATATATATATATATATATGGAATTTAGCTTTGTAATTTTGGAGAAATGTCAAGGGTTCATTTACGTTATTGTATATAATCAATGATCTCCAGATGTGGCCCTTTGCATGCCTTTATCCGGCCCTTGAGGCATTATTCCTGCCACTGACGCAAACAATGGGGTATTAACCTTCTAGATTGTAAGCTCCAAGGAGCAGGGCCCTCCTATCCCTCTTGTATTGTTGCTGTATTGTCTTCTGTTATATTGTAAAGCGCTGAGCAAACTGTTATATAACTCCTGTATAATAATAATAATTCCTGCCACTGACACAAACAATGGGACATAATTCCTGCTACTGGCAACAAAAAAGAGGCACTTTTCTCCCACTGACACCAACTATTTCTCCCCCTAATACTAAAGATTGAGCATTGTTTACCCCCACTGGGCACAGTCCGGCCCCCCCAAAGTCTGAAGGACAGTAAACTGGCCCTTTCTTTAGAAAGTTTGGAGACTCCTGGTATAAATCATATAACTTGTGCATTGATGATAAACTTTTCTTCCCCTGACAAAAGTAACAAATTCTCAAATATAAATTGGCTGACTGGAACCTGGGATTTGCCAAAGCTTTCCATATATGCACTTGCTTACCCATAAGAGAAGATCCGAGTTGCCTTCCACCGAGTCATTAATGCAGCAATAAGTCCCATGACTAGAGCAGAGCAGTCAAACAACATGTGGAATCCATCAGAAAGCAGCCCTAGACTATTTGTCCACACACCATAGAACAGCTCCACAAAAGTAAATGCCTGAAATAAAAGCAGAGATTTAGTTCCACACTGAAGAACAGGCCATTCGGGTAGGTAATCTGATTTTATATATGGTAGGATGGAAGCTCCAAAGCTTCGTTATCATCCAGCTTAGGCTTAGTGCACACTGGACATTTTTGCTCTCTCTCCTAACACCTTTCCTTTTGGCAATGGTGTTTTGTCAGGAAAAAAAAAGTGATATTTGTAAATGCATGTAAGTAATGTTTTTAGGCATGTTTAGGCGCGTCAACGCTTGGGTGTGAATTCATTTAATTTGCCAAAATAATTTATTCTGGCTATTGCAATGAGTTAACACTCAAGCACCAAACGCACATTTAGACAAGATGTTCTACAATAATGTTGCTGTTCCTGGACATGCTGGCAGTGGGTTTTTTTCTGCCTCTAAACGCCTATGTGTGCATGGACACATAGGCTAAATTGCAGGGGTGTTTACAAGCAGGGGAAAAAAAAAAAAAAACATGCCCCGAAGAACAGCTTTAAAAACGTCCATTGTGCATGAGGCCTTAAAAAGACAAAAGTCCAATTTAAAAAAATGCTAAATATTGATCCTGTATTACTTTGCGAAAAGGATACAGTTAATAAAATACAGTAACAATATACTATAAGCACTAAGCACCCATGACTTTATGGCTCACAATAGCTGTAAGGTGAACCTGACCTGGCCTATAACATTTACAAGGTAAAAATTATACTCAGATGCAGCAACTTAAGGTGCTAGTCTTCAAGTGAATCCTTCAGTCCCTGTAGAGACCACAGGATCTTACTAGGTCTAAGCTAGATTCCTTTGGCCTAAATCAGCAATAAGCCCATGGTGCCAAGCCCTACGTCTGGCATTCAAAGTTCAAGTGCCAGAGCTTCAGTTGGCAGTAGAGGCTTTAGCATTTGTCACTTGAATAATAAAGCAAGGCTTAGCACTAGGAAAGAGCAAGGTTTAGGGTCCATTCATGTTGCATGTTCAACGTTTGGTGCATTAAGACAGCCCATTTATTTTAATTTAAGGATTTTGCCTATTTTTCTGACATAGGGGAATAACAAGTTCCAGTAGGTAATTTTTCTGTCCAAAACAACCCCTTAATTTGTTGCCTTGGCCTCAAAACTCAAACCTTAAGACTTCATCCACGCTGGGTATTTACTTTTCTCCTCTGAACGCCAGAGCTCTTGGCAGGAGAAACACTGGTTAAAAAGCGGGCCTAAAGTTGTGTATTGCACATGTTTAGCTGTGTCAAGCGTTTGGACGTTAATGGATTCCATTGGCCAAAATATTAATTTATTTGTTTTTTTTTTTATGCCCATTGTGCACAAGGCCTAAGAGATGACAACACTTGAATTCAAATCTGTTAAATTTACAGTTACTTAAGAATAGATCTCTAGGTAATGTTACTGCTTATAAGTAGTACCCAAGTAGGAGGATATCCAACTTAGATCCCACCATCTATATATGACTTATCTGTGCCTTTGGGTCAACAGCTTGTTTATAAGCAACAGCACAAGCCTGTTCCCAATGTCTTTTTATTCAGGTAACTTTTGAAACAAAGACAAAAAAAAAATTGCTTTTTTTTTTGTTAGATACTACAGAGAAGAAAATGACAGTACATACCTCACATTACAACAATTGTTACAATAGAAATAACTTCTCAATCAGTAGACAACAAAGACAGTCATCTCAACCTCCCTCCCTCTTGGATACCATAAATGTTTAGTTTTTTAGTTGCTATCCAGGAAGAAAAATAACATAATGGTGTTATAAGAGGTATTCCACCCTTTAACATTATAGTTTGAACACCAGTCCTCCCTCACATATGTCAACTTGGTCAAAGTTCCAAAATACCGCTTTCAATACCAATATTGTGAATAAGAGTGTTTGAATATAACCTCAGATACTCCCAAAGACATGCTGGTAGGTTAATTGATTCCTGTCCAAATTGGCCCCAGTATGTATGAATGTAAGTTAGGGACCTTAGATTGTACACCCCTTGAGGGTTAGGGACTGATGTGAATGTACAATATATATATGTAAAGCGCTGCGTAAATTGACAGCCCTATATAAGTACCTAAAATAAATAAATATTATGGTCAGTACATTTAAATACAAACATATTCACCTGCATAGTCAGTGTAATTCCTAGTCCATAAAGATCATTCTTCGAGATCGGTGTGCCCTAGGGCACGATTTGTATCAGAATGAGTCTGGAGGGAGTGTGCCTGGGTTAACCAGACCTCCCAAACTCGCTAAATTTTTTGTGGGCATAAAACTTAATATGTTTTTCTATCTCTAATAAAGACTTCCATTGGTCATCGGTCCATTTTTGGGCCAATATACCACTATAAAGACCAACCTAGCAATAGGCTCATGAAGCTGATCGAACTTTACATTGTCGGGTAGAATACCAAGAATCCCTATTTTTGGGTCTAACAGTAAAGTCAATGCAAAAATGTAATTAATTGATTCAAATATTGATTACGGATATCTAAAAAGCTTTGGGCATCTCCACATCCACACTGCATCTAGTTCAGTCAGGGGAAGAGATGCACACAAAATTAAATATTTCCTTTGGGGTATGTTAGACAATATACACAAACAGAATGAGATGGAGACATTGAGGTCAGGGGTATGGATTCAAGTGCTGCAGACCATTTCTCAGCTTTCAGGGTACCTACATCTTTTTGCCATTTTGTGTCACTATTTGCTGCACAGTTGGTATGTCTTGTGAAGAGAATGGCATTATAGATTATTGCAATGAAACCTCTCCAATGCCACCTGTCTGCACTATCATAGCGATCAGGGGGGAGATCAAGAGCAGGATAGATATGAGCTGTACGGTTGGGTTTGTATAGCAAGACTCACTTGCAAGTATTGGAAGAAAAAATGCTGTGGAGAAGAATATTCCTCTAGCAAGATCTTAAAAGTTTTAATATAGGACCTTAATGTCTTTAGCACAGCTCATTAGATTAAATATGGTCAGACTTACTGGTAGCAACAAATTACCACTACACTGGCCCATTAAAACCAGGGGAGAAAGGAGGAAGGAAAACACCTTATGAGAGTTCAGAAGCAGCTGGGAGATTACCATGTAGACTGCAAGTGATTTTTAAATACAGGTAGCTCCTGTCACATGTAAACCAGTACACCTACCAGGTTTAGACATAGAAAGTAGAAGATCTGCCTGGAGTCGTATTCTTCGAGTATTTGTTTGAGTGAATCCTTAATAAACCTAGGCATAGATGGGGAAGTGCTGTGCAGGGCATCACCCATAAAGGTGTACAGAGGTGTCCCTTCCGGAGAATAACCAACAAGGGTGCCCTTCTGGCCCTTCCTGGATGCCGAAGATAGGATGCTTGCAGCTGTTAAATGAAACACATAAATAACTGAACTGTAAAACAAATCTGTATATATGTATAACAACTGCTCAATAATAAAAGCCACTTACAGTATTGTTTACATATGTTATCAGAAATTGTAGTTGCCGTTTTGGAACCACTAAGCCACTGTGCTGCCCAGTTCACCTAAAAATCATAGTCAGTAGAGGCCCAAATAATGAATTTTAGGGCCACCAATTCTTAGTGTAAGGACCAGCAGAAACGTTTAAGAAACCAGGAACAAAAAAGTAAGCTTTGTTTTTTTTTAACAATAAAAAGTAAATTGCCAGCAAAAATCTTTTTGTAATGAACTGGTTAGCTGGATCTATCCAGTCTTCCATGTTGGTTGGTTTGGCTGAACATCATACAGTATCTGCATTAGACATGCATTCAGTTCACAAAAATGAATAGCAATCAAGAAAATGTCTCAGGAAAGCAACAACACAACCTGACAACACATGGAACAGATTTCATTGTCATTCTAGGTGGAGGGGATTGTTAAATGTACTAACAAATTAATGCTGAACTCCAGCTAACACTTTATAGGCACTTACAGCATTTTTTTCCCTTTTTGCGATAAAGGTTTGACACAAACAAAAGCTGATTATTGTACACTTGTCAGTAGTAAATTGTTTGTCTCAACCCTGTAACTGCTACATTTTCAGAGTGGCTTGTTCTGTTGAAGAACATCAGACTTACTGGACAGATCACCAGTTTAAAAAAAAAATTTATGTAGCCATTACATCTAGAAGTTGGTAAGCTGCAATATAATAAATGTTTGCTTTAGGGTTTAATACTGCATTAATTCTTACCACAGGTAAAAAAAAAAAAAAAAATAATTAAAAAAATCCATAGATGGATCAAAAGTTAGCTGGTTCAGCAGGGACTAGCCCATTTCTATCCATGTGTGGCTGTGCCTGTTTGAGAGAAGTCAATCAACTTTTGTCGAACAGGCTTGTTTGAAAATTGTTCTCGATTAGTTAGCTGACTGATCAATGTACTCTGAAAGCGGAGAGACATGCTATAAGAATACAATGTCCCAGTCGGAAGGATTGCTCTATCCACCTCATTTCTTTTTTTTTTTTCCAGCCTGTTGGCCAAAAAACAAAAACAAACAAACAAAAAAAAAACCAAAATAATAATTTATGGGCAACCTAACTTTTTCACTGTGTGTGAACCTAATGGTGTGACATCTCCTGAAAATTTGTATCCCTCCTCTCCATGCCCTCTCATTGGTGATCAAACACTACTCCGTTGTTTATACACACTGCACTTATGATGGCCAACAAGCCCAAAACATTTGTATGCAGTTTGAAATTAATGGTTCTACAATATTAGACTGTGCTATATACTAGCCTTTCTGGATGCCCGGTAGCAATGGACTGCAAAGGAATGATTTGCATGACCCCACCCACTATTCTGAATGGAAACTTTCTGGGATATTTAATGGATGAGACATGTAAATACCTACGTTTCTAGGAGGGCTTTACTTTACTACTAAATTAACTAGTTAAAATTCTGAGGACACCAACCACTCTCAAACAATACTTACACAAGAGGAAAAAGATAGAGCTGACCACCACTCCTCCAGAGAGGACATGTTCAGTGCTAGGCTGGTGTGCGGGCTTATTCATGGCCCGCAGCTGGTCTGTGATAGGATGAGTCCAGAAATTCCCCAGCAGCAGAGCACTGATTACTATCAGGAAATATCCATAGCGCGCACACTTTGACACTTCCATCTTAACTGAGCAAACAGACTCCACATAGAAATCCAGGATCATGACCGAGAATATAACGGTGATGAAAGGCATTATGAGAGAAGACCATGACTCCACTTTACTCTGAAATAGACACATATTAAACAAAAGGTTAGATGGAGCAAGGATAGGCAATTAGTATTGGAAAAATGACTAATGCAGATACTAATATCAATACAATAATAATATTTTACTGCAGTAAAACACTATTTCCCAGATGTTAGTTGGTTGTGTTCCACAGTCACAACCTTGACCAGGTCTAAATGCTCCCTTGTGAAATATTGCAATAAACTGTGGAAGAGTCTTTGTTATTTCATCCTTTCCTGCTAAACCTGCTGCTTCTCTGAATGGTCTCTCTTTTTCTGCTCTGAATCTTTATTTCTTTCACCTTCAGCCACAGAAATGCAATCAAAGCACTACTCTGTACGAAGAGGGTGTAAGGTCCACTGTATCATACTCTTATGGTATACATGTAGTTTAGCTTACTGTGCGCTTTGTATTGGTCAGATTGGAATGGAGTAGCTCAGGGAGACCCATTCCAGCCCAAAGTTTATGTGACATACAAGCCTTTCCGCCTAAGAATGTTAATCAATTGTCAGTATGTAAAGTTAAACCCTATTTGAAGTCTTCTACCTTTGTTCTTCTCTATAGTGAACCTCCGCATGTTATCATTTTAACAGATGTTTGCTTGGAAATGCCTATGTGTGTGCTTCCCATTCTTTCACTGCAGAGTTTCATGCTGGAAAAGATGCATAACAGCCACATTCCTCCTAACAGGTTTCCTAACATAGACATTTTGGGGTTATTTACTAAAGCTGGTTCACTCAGACCCTGGTGCAGCTGTGCATGGTAGCCAATCAATTTCTAACCTCAGCTTTTTCAACTAAGCTTTAGCAATAAAACCTGATTGGTTTCCTTGCAGAAGTACACACGATTCTGAGTGAACCAGCTCTAGTAAATAAACCCCTTTGTGTTGGGTAAGAAGAGGGGTGTGCTTTACCAGGTTTGGTAGATTACAGAATGAACTGGGCAGTGTGGTCATAATCTGTGCCTGTTGTTTGGCACAGTCATATTTAGACACTGCAACTGCAGTAACAGAAAAGTGGAAAAACTATGTAACCAAGTCTTTTTCGTACAATGTCTATCTAAACCAGTGTCCATTTTTGTGACTTCAATTGGCCTTTAAAACACAAATCCACCATCAACGTTAAATTGAATCAAAAATGGATTCTGTAACCATTTTCCTTCATCCTGCTAACCCATAAATTAAAGTGCTTCTAAAGCCTTAAGGTTTTTTTTACCTTAAAGTGTCGCTAAACCTACATCATTAAAAAAAAAAACAGAAGAAAAAAAAAAAAAAAAAAAAAAAAAAAAAAACAAACAAAAAAAAAAAAAAAACCACACACTATCAAATGCTGTATTACATGTTGTTCATACTCAGTCCACTATGAGATTCATTTTCTATATTCTGCAAAAAATCTGGTTGATCCTACTGTTCTCTATCTCCCCATTCTGTCCATGTCCCCAATGCAACTGGGGATTTTGCAGAGCGGTGTTGGCAGCCCTGCACATGTTTGTTTGCAGGGAGTTTCTATGTGGATCATTTTCTTCCTATCACATCTGAGCAGCCCATGCTTCTATCACATGTGGGCATATGCTTAGTGGTAAATGACGGCTAACCAGCTAAACACAAAGGGGGTGGGATAATATATCTAGATTGAAGGAGGCTTCGCCTTCCTCTTATTCTAAGACACTGGAGGGGTGTGAGACAGCCTGTGACTGGCAGAAATCAGCCAACACCGTGTTATTAAATGTTAAAAACAAAAGCTTGAGAGGTGCTGATTTTCAAAGAAAAAAAGTCAATATTTGCATATAAAAACTTTCATTGTGCAGTTTTCACTAAACATAATCTATGTAAAACAATCTTTCAACATTTGCTCAATTTGATTCATTCAGATTTGTGATGACTTTAACCACTTGCCCTCCAGAAGTTTTATCCACCCTTCCTGTCCAGGCCATGTTTTGCAATACAGCGCTGTGTTACTTTAACTGACAATAGCGCAGTCATGCAATGCTGTACCCAAATGGAATTCATGTTCTTTTTCACCACAAATAGAGCTTTCTTTTGGTGGTATTTGATCACCTCTGCTGTTTTTACCTTTGCGCTAAAAACAAAAAAGACTGACAATTTTGAAAAAAGCACAATACTTTTTATTTTCTGCTATAAAACATAAAAACATATAAAAAAAAAATACACCATAATGTATTCTGCTACATATTTTTGGTAAAAAAATCCCAATAATTGTATACTGATTTGTTTGCGCAAAGGTTATAGCATCTACAAACTATGGTACATGTACTGGAATTAAAAAAAAAAAAAAAAAAAAAACATTTTCATACTAGTAATGGCAGCAATCAGCGACTTGAAGCGGGTCATTTTTACACTAATTGACACTTTTTGGGAACCAGTGCTAAAAATATTATGCATTGACACTGTACTAATGACACTGGCTAGGATGGGGTTAGCACCTAGGGTGATCAAAGGATTAAGTTTGTGCCTACCTATGTGCTTGGTGTACACTAGGTGGTGCTTTTACTATGGGAAGTGATAGATCGTGTTCTCAGCTCTGCAGAGAGAAACGATTCAGGATTCACAACAGTGCTAATGACCAACGATCAGCGGGTGCTAGCAAGCAACTGCTTGCCGGGCCGTGCAGATCGTTTTGTGCTGCGACAGTTCAAGGCTGAAGATTTTCTCCGGTGGAGTGCGCCCCATGTGGAAGTGCAAAATTACGCTTATTTATGTGATTTTTGCACAGGAATGCCGCCCTGTAGCAGTAAAACTGCTATAGATAGGAGGTAAAGTGGTTAATACTAACTGCATCCTCAAAATGCCGCAAGCATAAATCAGTATTGTTGATGACCATGGGTTCTAGATCTGTATATTGTCAATCACATCCCGACAATTTGAGCCATTGCTGTTCCAAGAAAGACTAATACTTGATCTATGATTAAATAACATTACACAAGAAATAAAGTCTGCGGGCCAATTCAGTTATGAGACACAGATAGCTCTGCTTTTTGTCTCTTGGACTGAGCTTAATGCAATACTGCCAAGCAGAAGCAATCTAGACATTTGTATAACACATAACTCAACGTGTCTGCAGATAGAGAAGGTGATTACCTCAGTAGTTGCAGCAAGGACGATGACCCACGGGCACAGTAATATGACAGACACAAGGTGAGACAAGGCCTGCAGACGCTTGGCTCCACCAATATCTAAAGAGAGCTTTCTGGAAGCTGTGTGGAAACCAACATTGAAACATAAAGCCAACACAAGCAACAGTACTCCTCCCTGAAAGCAACAAGAAAACAGATGCACTTCAATTAAATAATACTTTATTTTGTACAATGCAAAATCATTTTGTAAAAGCACATGAGGTCATAAATACTGAAAGATGAAACCCTAGACCAGTGATGGCGAACCCGTGGCACGCCGAGCCTTATCTGTGGGCACGCCAGGAGAATCCAGCGGCGCGCTGTCTTCCCGGCTGTAGTGTGCGTGACAGCCGGGTCCCAAGTGCGCATGCACAAGAAGCAGTGCTCTTTGTGAATGGTAAGGCGGTACCTGGGACACATGACAGATCCCAGAAGCCGCCGGACCAATCACAAAGCGCAGCGCTTCTCGCGCATGCGCACTGGGCATCCGACGAGCGCCCACACTACAGAAGCCGGGAAGACAACGCGCGGCTGGATAAAGGAACAGGTAAGATAAAGAAAAAAAAACTCTGCGGAAGTAAGAGCGGGTACCTGTCAAATTCAGGTACCCGCTCCCCCTCCCTCCCCAAAGGTCAGCAGTCATCTCTGTACTGTCCGCAGTCTCTGGTCATCCCTGTGCTGTCCGCAGTCTCTGGTCATCTCCTGTACTGTCCGCAGTCTCTGGTCATCTCCTGTACTGTGTCCGCAGTCTCTGGTCATCTCCTGTACTGTGTCCGCAGTCTCTGGTCATCTCCTGTACTGTCCGCAGTCTCTGGTCATCTCTGTACTGTCCGCAGTCTCTGGTCATCTCCTGTACTGTCCGCAGTCTCTGGTCATCTCCTGTACTGTGTCCGCAGTCTCTGGTCATCCCTGTACTGTGTCCGCAGTCTCTGGTCATCCCTGTACTGTGTCCGCAGTCTCTGGTCATCCCTGTACTGTCCGCAGTCTCTGGTCATCTCCTGTACTGTCCGCAGTCTCTCTTCTGGTCATCTCTCTGTACTGTCCGCAGTCTCTGGTCATCTCCTGTACTGTCCGCAGTCTCTGGTCATCTCTGTACTGTGTCCGCAGTCTCTGGTCATCTCCTGTACTGTCCGCAGTCTCTGGTCATCTCCTGTACTGTGTCCGCAGTCTCTGGTCATCTCCTGTACTGTGTCCGCAGTCTCTGGTCATCTCCTGTACTGTGTCCGCAGTCTCTGGTCATCTCCTGTACTGTCCGCAGTCTCTGGTCATCTCCTGTACTGTCCGCAGTCTCTGGTCATCTCCTGTACTGTCCGCAGTCTCTGGTCATCTCCTGTACTGTGTCCGCAGTCTCTGGTCATCCCTGTACTGTCCGCAGTCTCTGGTCATCCCTGTACTGTGTCCGCAGTCTCTGGTCATCCCTGTACTGTGTCCGCAGTCTCTGGTCATCCCTGTACTGTGTCCGCAGTCTCTGGTCATCCCTGTACTGTGTCCGCAGTCTCTGGTCATCCCTGTACTGTGTCTGCAGTCTCTGGTCATCTCCTGTACTGTGTCCGCAGTCTCTGGTCATCCCTGTACTGTGTCGCAGTCTCTGGTCATCCCTGTACTGTGTCCGCAGTCTCTGGTCATCCCTGTACTGTGTCCGCAGTCTCTGGTCATCCCTGTACTGTGTCCGCAGTCTCTGGTCATCCCTGTACTGTGTCCGCAGTCTCTGGTCATCCCTGTACTGTGTCCGCAGTCTCTGGTCATCCCTGTACTGTGTCCGCAGTCTCTGGTCATCCCTGTACTGTGTCCGCAGTCTCTGGTCATCCCTGTACTGTGTCCGCAGTCTCTGGTCATCCCTGTACTGTGTCCGCAGTCTCTGGTCATCCCTGTACTGTGTCCGCAGTCTCTGGTCATCCCTGTACTGTGTCCGCAGTCTCTGGTCATCTCCTGTACTGTGTCCGCAGTCTCTGGTCATCTCCTGTACTGTGTCCGCAGTCTCTGGTCATCTCCTGTACTGTCCGCAGTCTCTGGTCATCTCCTGTACTGTCCGCAGTCTCTGGTCATCTCCTGTACTGTCCGCAGTCTCTGGTCATCTCCTGTACTGTCCGCAGTCTCTGGTCATCTCCTGTACTGTGTCCGCAGTCTCTGGTCATCTCTGTACTGTGTCCGCAGTCTCTGGTCATCTCCTGTACTGTGTCCGCAGTCTCTGGTCATCCCTGTACTGTGTCCGCAGTCTCTGGTCATCCCTGTACTGTGTCCGCAGTCTCTGGTCATCTCCTGTACTGTGTCCGCAGTCTCTGGTCATCCCTGTACTGTGTCCGCAGTCTCTGGTCATCCCTGTACTGTGTCCGCAGTCTCTGGTCATCCCTGTACTGTGTCCGCAGTCTCTGGTCATCCCTGTACTGTGTCCGCAGTCTCTGGTCATCCCTGTACTGTGTCCGCAGTCTCTGGTCATCCCTGTACTGTGTCGCAGTCTCTGGTCATCCCTGTACTGTGTCCGCAGTCTCTGGTCATCCCTGTACTGTGTCTGCAGTCTCTGGTCATCCCTGTACTGTGTCTGCAGTCTCTGGTCATCCCTGTACTGTGTCTGCAGTCTCTGGTCATCCCCTGTACTGTGTCTGCAGTCTCTGGTCATCCCTGTACTGTGTCTGCAGTCTCTGGTCATCCCTGTACTGTGTCTGCAGTCTCTGGTCATCCCTGTACTGTGTCTGCAGTCTCTGGTCATCCCTGTACTGTGTCTGCAGTCTCTGGTCATCCCTGTACTGTGTCTGCAGTCTCTGGTCATCCCTGTACTGTGTCTGCAGTCTCTGGTCATCCCTGTACTGTGTCTGCAGTCTCTGGTCATCCCTGTACTGTGTCCGCAGTCTCTGGTCATCCCTGTACTGTGTCGCAGTCTCTGGTCATCCCTGTACTGTCCGCAGTCTCTGGTCATCCCTGTACTGTCCGCAGTCTCTGGTCATCTCCTGTACTGTTCGCAGTCTCTGGTCATCTCCTGTACTGTGTCCGCAGTCTCTGGTCATCCCTGTACTGTGTCCGCAGTCTCTGGTCATCTCCTGTACTGTGTCCGTAGTCTCTGGTCATCTCCTGTACTGTGTCCGCAGTCTCTGGTCATCTCCTGTACTGTGTCCGCAGTCTCTGGTCATCCCTGTACTGTGTCCGCAGTCTCTGGTCATCCCGGTACTGTCCGCAGTCTCTGGTCATCCCTGTACTGTGTCTGCAGTCTCTGGTCATCCCTGTACTGTGTCCGCAGTCTCTGGTCATCCCTTTACTGTCCGCAGTCTCTGGTCATCCCTGTACTGTGTCCGCAGTCTCTGGTCATCCCTGTACTGTGTCCGCAGTCTCTGGTCATCCCTGTACTGTGTCCGCAGTCTCTGGTCATCCCTGTACTGTGTCCGCAGTCTCTGGTCATCCCTGTACTGTGTCCGCAGTCTCTGGTCATCCCTGTGCTGTGTCCGCAGTCTCTGGTCATCCCTGTACTGTGTCTGCAGTCTCTGGTCATCCCTGTACTGTGTCCGCAGTCTCTGGTCATCCCTGTACTGTGTCCGCAGTCTCTGGTCATCCCTGTACTGTTAATTAGTTTGCACTACTGTACGAGTTGTTTTTTCTAAACCAAAAGCTCGATATTCAGGTTTCATTGCAGTGTTGGCACTTTGAAAGAAATAAGTTGGTTTTGGGTTGCAGTTTGGGCACTCGGGCTCAAAAAGGTTCGCCATCACTGCCCTAGACTGATGTATAGAGCAGAGTGGCCATCTCTACAGAAAGCTCACTTTAGTAATAGCACTGATAAACCCAACACACTTTTATCCCAAAGCATGCACACAAGATGTTTTTTTTTCAGTGCACTGGAAACCGTTGTTCCAGTGGAGGAAAATTCAGCTTAAAAAAAACACGACTAAAGCTACGTTTTGCATGCTTGTTCATGCATTTGGCGTTAATACATTCTATTGGCCAGAATAGTAAACAATTCTGGCCATTAGATTGGATTAATGTGCAAAGCGCATAAACGTGCCTATTATTAATGTGCATTTGACATTTTTCCGCCCAAATTTTCCCTCTTCTGAATGCACAAGTGATGTTTTCTTTATTCTGCCTGTAAATGTCTATATGTGCATGGACACACAGGTTAAAATAGAGGGGCATTTAGAGAAAAAAAAAATCAAAAAAAAAAAAAGCAATACAGAAAAAAAAAATCAAACTCCTGTAAAAGTGGCGTGTTTGACGTTCTGTGTGCATGAGGCTTTAAAACGGAATTAAAGTCCCACAATTGTGAGTACGCAGGCTCTTTACTGCAGAAGAGACATGTAATGTCGCTTCTTTAATAAAAGAAACCTACCCGCCTGTTTGCAGTCTTCTTTGGAATATTCACTAAGCTGCAGAAGTGCAGCTCAGTTTATATTCCGGCACAGCGTCTGTGTAACAGGATGACTGCACTCCTGCTCACGAGAAGGGGTGATGTCATTCCATGCCGTTCAACGAAGACAGCCACAGTTCAGCACCTAATAGATGCTGGCAAGAGATGTCACGCTGAAGGATTTAACATGTTCATGCAGGTCAGACTGTAGCATGACACTTTATAGAGAAGGAAAAGTTTAGGGATCACAATGGCAAACATACATATTAAATTAAACAAGGCTAAATATACGACACAATGGAGTACATAAACAGGAATTAAATGTAAGACAGCCTACAGCTGATAAACATGGAAAGGACTAGATTCAGGCAAGGGCACCTGAATCTAGAAGTTTTCAAATATCTGAAGTATTGAGTATTTGATAATCAAATATAAACAGATCTAGATTTCTGCAGTAAAACTGAAGGGAGTCTTACCTTATGATCTGCAACTCCTAATAGGGAGAACGCTGTGTACAGGAAATGCGTTAGAGTACTGTCATGGTGTCCTTCAGCTGATACAGGACAGTTAAGGCAAAATAAACACAGAACCTAACATACATAAATTAAATGCAAATCCTCAAAGAACATTCACAGTTTGTATATTGTGATGGGAGTGACTTTTGGGGGTGGGGGGACCCCTGTATCATCGTCCCTAATTCTTATGTTTAACACACCCTGTGCCTGTTAAGGGGTACAGGGCGTGAATGGGAATTGTGTATTGGTGTGTTGCCCTTTGTTCTCTGCCATGTGGCTGTCCATTGTTCTGTGTCTTGGTCGGGGGGGGGGGGGGGTTCCTGTAGCCCTTCCCACTGATGGGGTGGGCTGATTATGTGTTTTCTGTCCCTGGTTGTGTTTCCCCGCCCTGTGTATATATCTTGTGTGTGTGTGTAAGAATAAAGGAGTTGACTTCCTGTTTTAAGAAGAGTCGGGTGCTGTCTTATTTCCTGCATGATCAGCGGGTGGTGTCCGGGGATTTGAGTTCGGACAGGGAAGCTGGAGTATAATGGAAAATACCCAAGAGTGGTCAGGTTCCGGTTCTGTTACACATATACAGCTGAAGACAAAAAAAAAAAAAAAAAGTAACAAAACCTGGTCTCTATTAACTTCCTGCACAGAAATGGAGGACTACAAGTCAGTCAGAATCTACTACTTTCCACGACACTGTCACAGTTCAGGGACTAGAGTGGGAGGGGTTAAGGCATGTTACAGGAGGAAAAGGACACAGGGACCACCGTGATGATACATTCTAAGGCCTGTTCATACAGAGCGTGCCATGGGGACCATTTCCAGATGTGGACAGAGTCAATGTTTGTCTCGGACCCGCCATGGTTGTGCCATTTAGGAGCCAGTTCTCCCCCCAGCTGCCACTAGCACTGTCTTCTGTGCAGAGCTGACAAAGGGAAGCAGCACAACAATGGATGGAGGGTGGTAGCTGGCCCAGTTAACTGATTGATTTCTACGACTGCCCTGCATCATAGCAACCAGTTAACTGGGGCAGCTCCTACCCTCTGTCCATCACTGTGCTGCCCTTCCGATGCCAGCTCTAGACCCTCTGTGCGTTCCGTCCTCTGCGCTGTAAGGTAGGACAGGGAAATGGGGTCTGTCACAACTATTAAGTGCGGGGGAAGCATGGATTGATGTGAAGGGGGTCCGGAAACAAATGTGAAGGGAAGGGGGTGATATAAAAGGGGCGGGTGAGGACAGGAATGTGAAGTGAGTGTTATGAAAGGAGGGGGGGGGGGGGGTTTTTACAAAGGGGGCTAGGACAGGAATGTGAATGGGGGGCTGGGGACTGCAATGTGAAGGGTGAGTTCTATAAATGGGGTAAGGACAAAAATGTGAAGGGGGTCTAGGCACTGCAGAGTGAAGGGGGGGGTTTCTATAAAGGGGGTGAGAACAGGAATGTAAATGGGGGTTCTATAAAGGGGGGTGAATACAGAAGTGTGAAGGGTGGTGCTGTAAAGTGGGTGAGGACACAGGAACGTCAAGAGGAGTGCTATAAAGGGAATAAGCATAGGAATGTGATGAGAGGCTGGGGACTGCAGAGCGAAGGGGGGTTCTATAAAGGGGGTGAAGACAGGAATGTAATAGGGGGTTCTATAAAGGGGGGTGGGGACAGGAATGTGAAGGGAAGTACTATAAAGGAAATGAGGATAGGAATGTAAAAGGGGGCTGGGGACTGCAGTGAGCAGGAGGGGTTCTATAAAGGGGGTGAGGACAAGAATGAGAAGGGGGACTGAGGATTCCAATGTAAAGGGGGATTCTATAAAGGGGGTGTGGACAGGAATGTGAAGGAGGGCTGGGGACTACAATGTGAAGGAGGGGTGCTATTCGGACCTCTGCTGGAAGAAAATTTTACTGAATGGACCTTTGTGAATTTTAATTCAATACCCCTGCTCTAGTCTATGCCCCTACAATGTCGTGTTTATTCACATGGGGATGCACAGGTGTTCGTGCATCCCTGTGCAGGTAGTTCCACTGGTGGCTACAGGGACACAGCTGCTGTGTCCCAATTATGATATCCATGAGAGTGTGTGCAAGTCACTGAACTCACACTATTTGCGTTTGGGGACCCGCACCCACACGGATGTCATAGTGGGACACAGCGGCTGCGTCCCTGCAGCCACTGCGTCCCAATAGACATCACTAGGATTACCTGCACACGGGGATGCATTTAGCACCATGCGGGCAAAACAGCCCTGCACAGAGGTAAAATATTGTATTGCCTGTGTGAAGTGAGGGCAAAAACTCCAGGGCCATATTTCATAATTCCCTCCAAATTGATAAACTGTAAAGGCTTTTAAAGAATTACCTATGGACAATTTTAGTTACTGTAGTTTATTTTTCATGGGCAGTTTTAAATCTTGACAATTTTGTAATCTATTTACTCGATACAAGATTGTCTTTTACAAAAAATAAATAAAAAAAAAAAAAAAAAAAAAAAAAAAATCGGGTATTATATTTTGTTTGAGCACACTAAAAATTTTTTTATTGTATTTTTCCTGAACATTTTCATTTGATAAACAGCTGCACAAATATCTCGAGACATTTAAAATCAGAACAGCCACCATTTTATTCTCCAGGGCCTCTGCTTTCATAAAATATTTAATGTTTGGAGGTTTCAAGTAATTTTCTATAGGAAAAAAAAAAAAAAAATCTGATTTTAACATGAGTGTGAACAATACAAAAACTGCACAACAAGTGGCCTATTTGCAGAATGTTGCTGCCAGGTAGGCTTTTATTGCAGTAAATCTCTTCTTTCTACCAGCATGTGCAGAGTGTACATTCTTGATGTGGTTTGGTACCAGGCTGAATTAACAGTATCGCGGGCCAACCAGTCAAGATGGCTATGGAGTTCAAACCCATAAGAGTGGGTACAGATGTTGGCATATGACAAAACAAGGGGATTTTGAGGAGATAGCAGCTGATGCAATGCTGGAAAGAGGGGGGGGGGGGGGGTTTAGCAGGTAAATCTGCCATACCATGGAAATATGCTCTGTATGGTAACCCTCGTCAGACTTTATTTCTGCTATATATAGCCCTATTTGATTTTTATCATAGATAGGATAGCTGGGCATAGCCTTTGGCTCATTTGGAATTCATAACATCTTTTTTAACATCAATTTTTATACATTATGGTATTAATTCTCTGGCCTTCTATAAAAGTTTTGTTTCTAATTTGTATTATATTTCTTACGATAATTATAGAGGGATATGGAGGGCGATTTGGTTTTCTTCCTCTGCCGTAAGTACCACAAGATGGATATTTGACCACCCTTGCCCCTCCGATGATTTACACCACTGAATTTTGGACTATGCAGTCCCATCTTGGATATCAGTATTTTTATGACCGCTCTGATCAACATTAACTGTTTAATTCCCTTGTAAGTATGAAAATGATTCTATAACCGTTATTGATGTCTTATATATTAACTATTATTAATCTCAAATATGTTTATTCAGAGATCCCTTTTGTACTCGTGCCCCCTAAAGAAGATCTAAAAGTGGAATGATCAAACCGTGTCAGATTGTTTTGGGAATGTTGTATTGTTGCAACTTAAAGGGAACACATCCCTGCAATAGTTATCAGAGCTAGTGTGCTTTTAAATGCAATGTATCTTTTATTAATTTTTTTTCCAATAAATTGTATGACTAAAAAGAGGTCCTTATGAGTACATATGTGATATGTTTGCTGCATTAAAGTCCCATAGGGGGTTATTTTTGTGTATATTCATGTTGGGGATGAGCAGCCAGATACTAGATTTTTCATCATGAGCCATTACTATGTAGAACTCTGTGCTGGAACTGCACCTGAACATCTGAGGAGGTGAATATTAAAGAAGTGGATCCATATTGCTGAGTATTCCCTGCAAAGCATTGCTCCTAGATAAAGGCTTCAGTGTTATTCATTCTTCTGCAGAATATTGCTCCCAGAGCAGAAAGCGCTTATGCCGATTTATAATTTGATCAGCATATTGCTCTGGTGCGTTGATTCAATTTATTTGGTGGTGGATTTAGCACACGGTGGATCTTTGTTGGACACAAAAGAAATTCTTTTGAATGATATTGTGACACAATATATTGGTGTTTGGACTTTATTCACTATATATTTTTTTTTGAACACTTTTCATATGTGATATTGTATTTACTTTTTATAATATTAGCGCAACCTGTTTTTTTTATTATTTGCACCTTTGTAGGTTAGGTTTTGCAGCGCTTATATTTTATATATATATGTTTTAGTTTTTCACTTAATTATTATTTCTTCTGTGGTGCTATCCATATTTTTTTGTTGTGTTATGAAAAAATCAAAAAAATAAAACTACCTCCTCCATTAAACCTCAATAAAGGATACGGTGTTCTGCAATTTTGGCCATCAGATCATCATTATCAAAGAGAAGTAAACAAATAACAGCTATAATAAAAAAGGCTGCACCCCGAGTCTGTGTAGACAACAAAAAAAAAAACCCTGCATAGTTAGAACCAATATTAATATAAAGAAAAGGCGTTTGTGTAAACACTGTTGTAATGCAGAATAATCAGTGTCCTTATATTCTACTACTAAGTCTACCTAAACTTTAATATTTTCTTTGTTTTGGATAGAGTGGGACTAAAACACTTGTTGAGTTTTTATAGCAGCTTGTGTCCTCATTACAAAGATTCACCCCTTTATTTGTCCTGTTGATTATTATCACCAAGAGTGAAGGAAAATGCTAAATATTGAGTTGTCAACAATATATAGAGGGGAAATGGCTATTGCAATATTTATATATATATATATATATATATATATATATATATATATATATATATATATATATATTGCTGCGTAAATTTACAGCACTATATAAGTACCTGTAATAAATAAATAAATGGAGATAGCAATTCTGGTGACAACTGCTAATAGGGGATTTCTCTGACTGTAGAGACAACTTCCCATTTTTGCTATGTTCTAATGTTTTAATTAATTTTGTTCTGATATACACTAGGATTTTTGTAAAAGAATATACTTATAAGTAAATCTAAAACTCTTCCTGTCTGATAGAGTAGTGAAGGGTTGGAACCACTGTCAGTTTTTTTTTTTTTTTTTTTTTAATCACTTCCTGTGTTTATTTTGGGAGATTTCCAGATTTCTTGTTCCTTTTCACCACCAGGACAAAAGATTAAAGCAGAAAAACGGGGAAAAAAATGTTTTGCTTATGCAGTGGGGCTGTGGTGGCACTGCACGGATTAAATGCTGGTTTTGTTCTAGGAGAGAGGACATTGAAGATATACTCGGATATGACCTGCTGATCCTTCCCGCACAAGACCAGTCCTTTCTGTTCCTGCCCCCCCCCCCCCCCCCGTGGTCCAACGGTCTTGTAAATTGACTGTTCCTGAGGTCAGCACACTCAATGCATACTCCACAGATAGGAACAGTCCATCGCTGGACCACAGGAGAGCACAGTGTTCTGTAGGATCGGCTGGTCAGGTGAGTACAAGCTTAGTCTTTATTCATAAAAAAAAAAAAAAAAGAGCTCGAAAAAAGGGGCAGCCCCACTGCATGGTAAAAAAAAAAAAAAAAAATTAGCTGTTCTGATTTTTTTACCCCCCACTTTTTTTTCCCCCATCAAAACATGTAAATTTAAAAAAAAAAAAAAAAAAAAAAAGGAAGGGTTTTTAAACATGTTTCACACTGCTAAACAGATCATTTCTAGGCTACCCTGTGTCAGCTCTTTTGCTCTTTCTAGGTATAATTTTTACTTGGACAAATACCTTGGATGGAACCCCACTGGAACCAGTGAAAAGCACTGTAAGCAATGTTAGAGCCACAATATCACTGTGTTCAAACAGCAGCAACGTCCTGCAAAACAAATATAAATCAACCAGTATACAGATGGTGATAATTCTAGTATAAAAGCTATTGAGAGATTGAGTGGAATCTTTTCTTATAAGCGGACAAGATTTTGTAAATTGACAACATTTTCTTCCACCAGCTGGTAAATATACTCATAATGGTCAAAAAAAAAAAAAAAAAAAAAGTAGAAAATATGTTGAACTGGACAAAATCACCAACACGATAGGCAATTTGTTTTCAACACTGAAAATGTAAAATCAACACATCTACAAACTGTCACCACCCCAGTGTCCCTTAGGATAAGTTCACACCTATGCAGTTTGCATTTGATCCGTTTCTGCAGTGCTTGTTGCTGTGCGTTTTTGACACGTTATTTTTTTTTGCCAACTTGTTGCTGGGCAGATTAAAACGCATAAAAAAAACCCACTACACGCATTTCTGCAGCAGCTCCATTGATGTCTATTGAACCAAACCACAATGTTTTGCATTTAAAAAGGTCCCTGACTCTTTCAAAAAATGCACCAGGTGAAAACGCAGAGATGTGAACATGTCCCATAGGAAATCGTGTTAAATGCCCTGTAGTGCATTTCTGCAAAATGCTTTAGGTGTGAACCTAGACTTAAGCCTATGTACCAAAAATGTTATAATCTGCAGTACATGTTGCATTTTTTTGACTATGTCATACCGCTGTAATTGGTTTAATTAATTGCCTATGCAGCTGTACATATTTGATGTCATTAGCAATGTCACGGTATGGGGGCTTCTTGGACCAGTGGCATAAGTATGGGCTTTTTGCAGTAAATGAGGCTTATATATATATATATATATATATATATCTCCATCTCTTCTGTATAAATTTATCATAGGCCACTAGTCACTGTGAATAACCACTGCATGGACTCCAATGTCTATGCTGGAGCCTTGTGCATGTCCCTTAAGCTTAACCTAGCCCTTAACCTTCACCCTAACAATTTACATAGGACCAAAAGTGAACCCCTAACACACCCACCCAAAAAAATAATTCACCCCCTGAAATCTAATCCATGCACTATACCAAACCCCTTAATAGCCAACATAGACCCTTCTAAATGACTGGCTCCTGTTAACTGGATATTTTGTAGTGCCTAAGGCAGGATATGGGCTCAAAATCAAGTGATCTTTCCTTTTCTTTCACCTCATGAGCCTCTTGTCCCACAGCGCAGAAAGCTCCTGCTTTGGTTTTGAGATGGATCAGATAATTAATAATATTTAAACAAATGCAAACTGTTGATTCTACAGGAATTTATGCTCAGGTCTCACTTTAAGAATTCCAAGAAATACAAAATTATAGCTAATGATATAATACATTTGTATATAAATTCCAGGTTGGGGGAAAAAAAAAAAAAAAAACTGCGCTGGGTTCTATCACTTTTATAATAAATGAATGAGGGGTAGGACAATGGCTTAAGGGTTAGTGCTTCTGTTCTGCAGCACTGGGGTCCTTGGGTCAAACGCTGGCAGGCCACCCTGGTGTTTACCCTGTGCTTGCATGGGGTTACTCCAGTTATACTGGGTACCTCCCACACTCCAAAGACAAGCTAGTAAATTAGTTGCCTCCTGTCTACAATTGGTCCCAGTATGCTATTCTACTGTCCCAAAATCAATCTGATAAGCACTTTGCATGCCCACGGAGAACAGCACTACAGATATATATGCTGATTATGTTCATGAGCTCTACCCGATAGCCAGCCTTAGGATAACTGGTTGGTAGGCAAACCCCTGCAATGCCGAAAAACATTTCAGGAGATTTGTGTTGTGTTTGCTGTCCCCAAAGTTGTTAATGTAGTTTGTGCAGTGTCAACTATTGATGCGTTTCTCAGGAACTGCCATTATGCAATCTGATGTTATATATTAAAAAGGAGAAATTAAATTACCGTAATGGTCCACAAAGAGTGAGGCCAAAGAACCACAGAAGTGAGATAATACAGCCAACGAACGCATGCTTCACAATACTGATCCACTGAAACGAAAGACTATGTTAACTACATCCTATATCCTAGAACAGACAGGTTATACTGTAAACAAAATGCAAGACAACAGATTTCCACATTTAACATATGAAGGTATAAATGAACTTTGTGCCAAGGTGGTAACAAAAAGGCCTCTTTGTACCACAGGGTTATAAGGAAACAATGGGGTTGACTTACTAAAAGGCAAATAGACAGTGCACTTTGTGAGTGCAGTTGCTCCAGAGCTTAGTAAATGAGGTAACACATCACTGTACAAAGAAAACCCAATAAAAAGCAAGGAAAATTAAAAAACAAAAAACATATGTTTGCTTGCATGATTGAAGTCAGCAAAAGGTCTCCTCATTTACTAAGCTCTGGAGCAACTGCACTTGCAGAGTGCAACTACACAGTCTATTTGCCTTTAGTAAATCAATCCCAATAAGTTGAAGTTTTAAAGTGTAGTTCCACTTTTGCAGCCTAATTGGGGTAATACCTACTTTATACTTGTTACATGTTCTCATTAACATAGCACAACAAAAAGAAAAAAAAAAAAAGAAAGAAAAAAAAATAATCATTTGCAAATTGCCATTTTAAATGCTCCTTTCTGATAACTCCAGCACTGAAAAAAAAAAAATTATCACACTTTGTTTTCTTGTTTTATGAGGGGGCTGGGAAGCGGTGTTAGCCATAATGAACCCTGGCTTACTGTGCTAGCAGATCTCCTTATCAGTTGTAAACTCTACTGTAGATTTGAACACAAAGGGTTAGGCGCAAGAAACTGGCCTCCTGTGTTGTATGTTAATGAAGGGATAAGTTCAGAAGTGCTTGCTGTCAGCCATGAGGCCTTCTCCTGAGAAACATCTGAAAAAGGTAACAAATATTTCATTTTTGTGTGTCTGTATCGGAATACATAACAAACAACATATAGTGGGGTTTTCCCCAATTTGACTGCAAAAGTGAGAGTACACTTTAAGGGTGGATTCGCACTATAGCTGCGCAGGAAATCACATGCGATTCAGCCAGGAATTGCACCGCATTCCTGTTCAATTCACATGCAATTATTTGCAGTGTGATTTAAGCCCATTCATTTTGTATAGGCTTAATTCACACTGCACCCACACGAAAAGGGTGCAGGAACCTTTTTTTTTTTTCCGCACCAGATTGGATTGCATGAGTGTTCACACCCATGCAATCTGATTCTTGCAATCACACTGCATTTTGTGATCTGTTTTGGGGTGTCATCAATTTACCATTGACACTGCTGGCGGATCACATGAACAAAGTGCGATTTCAATGCGGTTCAGGAAACCGATGCAAATCAGGTCTAAACCAAAATTCCCATTTGTGGTCAGTCAAAACTGAAAATATCATTTAAAGTCATTCCTCTGTTAACAATACTTAAGTAATAGTTGTCACTGAGTCTTCACGGGCTGTGAACACCATTTATGACTGTTAATCTGAATTAGTCATTGATAAACTAATTCATGAGAAATTGTGCAACCTATACAATTCCCCATGCATTAGTTTATCATTTGCCAGTCATATAATCGTCTGCATAAGTAGATTAACAACAGACAAAGTCTGCTGCCACGATACTTGGTAATATTGTAGTTCCACAAAGATGTTCAGCTACACTGTCAAAAAAATGTCCACATCTACCAAGAAAAAAAACAAAATACAAAAAGGATGACATTTTAATAAGCTGGTAAATCTCAGAGCAGTTTTGACACTTGTTTACACACACACACACACACACACACTATTAGCCCCTTTGTTATCCTAGGACACCTGATAAAAGGGTACTAAATAAAAGTTAATAAATTAGCATAAAATAGATAGTAAACAGTTCCAAAGTGACTTTCAGTGCTCATACGGTGCCTCTTATCCTGGTAGGTCAGTGCTTGTGCAATGGTTATAGAGAAAATTGCGCACTCACCAGACGCGCAATATAAATGCGCCCATAAATATAAATCCAGATGTCATCAAGGTAGGACAGGTGTTGGGGTGACTTCCCTCTAAAGGGTAGGGTGGTGCATCAAATGGGTCCTTGTACTTTACTGGTGATCCAAATCAGCCAGAATTCCCCTTAAGGGATGAGTGGGTGCTGCTCCCTGGACGCACAGGATGCGCGTTTCGTGGAAATCCCCTCTGATGACGTGCGGGTGCACGAAACACATTAGGAGGAACCAATTACGCCGTGACGCCGTGCCCTGCATGAGTTAAAGATCCATCCCAGTACCAAGAGAGGGATTCTCCTACACTCCTGCTCTCTAGCTGCTCCCATCCTCTGAAACTCCCCAACCCAATCTGTCCGGTTAATTCCTCCTCCATCCACCTTAGATGATCCCAGAAAACCGATCTCTTCATGGAAACCTACCTGCAAGCATGCCTATCTTGCTATGGGGGAAACAGTGGGGGCTCAATCCCGAGCCGGGCTGTGTGCTTCTCAACACCGACACACATACACACACACGCTTGCTCGACCCCACCCACTGCTCAACAGAATTTGATTGACAGCATCAAGAGCCAATGTCTGCCATTGCTCTCACTGAGCTCTTGGGCACGGCGTTGGATTGAGATCAGATACTTAGGTGGGGGGCTGGGGGGAGCTGAACGTTAAAGTTTTTTTTACCTGGATGCATAAAAATGCATTAAGGTAAAAAAAAAATATTTAGCCTTTACCACAACTTTTTTTACTTAAGTTATCAAAAAATAGGATATTGAAACTTAAATTTTTTGTATTTTACTGAATCTAATAAATGTCGTGGTGGTCTTAGAGGAAAAAATACATTATCCCCGCCCCCAACACTGAAGGAAAAAAATGAAGCAAAATAGAAGTGTTGCTCACACTAACCAAAGGCCTCATTACATTTGAAGGCTTCAATATAATTGCAATGGGCGACATCATCAGTTTTGCTATAATCAGCATAATTTAGGCTGTTTCAGAAAAAAATTTTTTTTTTTTTTTTTTGGAAAGTGGAGGCGAGGTACACAACAACCAAACTGTCTTTTCTCTTGTGCAGTTTAGAAAATGAACCTTATTGCCACAAACAAAAAATGTGTGTTCTCTCTTCCATGATTATGTAATATCCAAAAATACAACAAACCATTCGGTTATATCAACTTACTTGGCGTCTAGTAATTGTCTTCCCAGAAGAAAATGGTTTTTGAAACAAAACCATAAAAAATGCAGACCTGTGGAGAAAAAAGTACATGTATTCAATGACCTATGTAAGATTCCTAATAGATGCTGAGAACATGACGTATTACATCTATTACGGAAAACCCCAGGAATCCAAATAAGTCTGTTTATGAAGACCCACACCAACATCTTTTCAAAGGCACTTGTAGCTGAAGCCTGGCCCCCAGAATGTGTACCTATAACTCAATCCAAAAATTGCCAAGATCACCCTGGGGTGGTGATGGAGCAAACCCAGAAGCACAGCTTACATCATGTAAAGGTGATCTCCATACAGATATAAAAGACAATCTATTATAGCTTTTTAATCATAAAACACTACCATTACCACTAAATCTTTCTTTTAAATGCAAGCGCTTTAAGTGCCTGAATTTCACCTGGTACCAGCCGCTGTACAGAGCTCCATTGTGAGAAGAAGCAGAACAAGAAGCCAAATGCGCTGACAAGAAGCATGTTGATAGGCTGAAAATTAGTGTCCAAGAGAAGAGCTCATCATTGTGCTGCTTCTAATTTCACTGTTTAGTCATAGGTAGAAGTCAGTCCAGGATGACCTGGGCTCAGAGGAAGTGGGTTGAATGAAGTGGTATGTAGCCAAGCACAAAGTGATTGGCTGGGGTTTGGGGCAGCTGTCCAAAACTGGACGCAACCAGCTGCATCCAGGCTCGGACGCAACCAGCTGCATCCAGGGCTCGGACGCAACCAGCTGCATCCAGGCTCGGACGCAACCAGCTGCATCCAGGCTCGGACGCAACCAGCTGCATCCAGGCTCGGACATCTGTCCCAAAACACTACTAATTGCTCTGTGTGTGACTACATGTGACCAGCAGCGGCCGCTGTCAACCCCCCCCATTAGTTTAAATGGGCCAAGCAGCTGCTACTGCATAATGCAGTCATTGCAGAGGCAAGAAACCATAGATTCTTGTTGCAGGAACCTGGCTGCCTCAACAAACCGGCCATGTGACACAGATCTTTAAGTACACCTGTAGCGAGTAGATTCAGCTGACACTGCTGACCTCCTTAAAATGCTAATTATTTGGCTGTCTCTGGCTGCACTATGATTCCTTATCATGAAACAAGCATGAACCTGGTGACGTTAGAACTCCTGATGTGAGGAATCTAATAATCAATGTTTTCACCCATGATTCACACATTTTTCACCTTTTCAGTTTGATTCAGTTAGTAAAATGTATGAATCATGGGTAAAACACGAATAACTAGAACCCAAAATATTGAGGTTGGAGACGCTCTTGAGAGGTTGGGTAACCCACAGATTCATGACTCAAAACATAACACTACAAGCAGTTAGGACACCTGCTACGGATATACCTGTTCCAGGCCCCTAACTAGCCAAGTAAAGGAAGATGAGGATGAAAGTCCCTGACTGCACCTTCAGGCCTCATTCACACTGCTGTGTTTATTTAAAGTGGTATTAATCCCAAAACCAAAAATGTAATATGCTGCAGCTTACCAATTAGCAGATGTTGTGGCTGCATTAGTTTATTTCCCCCTCTGTTTTCACCCAGTGACCTGGCCAGTAACACACCTCCTGTATTAGAGTGCCACCACTCTGAATTAAGAAGCACAGGGGGCACATTTGGGCAACAGAATTTTCAGTCTGGGGGGAGGGAAGTGTTAGAAGTAATAGCAGATTTAACAAAAGTTAATGTTTTGTAAGCAGCTGCAGCAAACAGTTATTTTTTCCTTTTAGGATAACAGTTTTACAGATATAAAAGATGATCATTGTAAGCATTGTAAGTCAGTATTAAATGGTTTGTCTAATTCCTGTAACTGATACATTTGCAGGAGAGCTTGCTCCTCTGAAAAACAAACAGACTTACTGGCTGGATCACCAGAAGAAAATAGAAGAAAGCAAGCCTAAAAAGGAAAATAAATGCAGCCATCACATCTAAGAATTGGTAGATACAATATAATAAATGTTTGCTTTTGCATTTAATACGGATTTAAGCAGGATCTTGCTGGCAGCAAGATCCTACATAAAATCTTGTCCAAACACTCTTTGTAAAGTTTGTGCACTCTTTCCATGCCTACAGCATAAATGTACGCAACTGCCTGCAGATCAGGGCTGACATCAACAAAGTGTCAGCAGCACCTGTGCTGAAAATCACACACTATTAATGTTTACATGGTGGCCCTGAATGAGTTAGTAATACAGTGGCAACATATGTGCAAAATGACTGGCTGAGATCGTTCTTTTCATGCGCCGCTGCTCCATGAATGACTCCTTTAGCACTGTTATATAATAATTATTAGTGTAAAATCAGTGGAACACGCAGATTATTGATATATACAGTTAGGTCCATATATATTTGGACACAGGCACAATTTTAGTTTTTTCAGCTATTTACCAAAACAAATTCAAGCTTTAGTTATATAATGGATATGGGCTGAAAGTGCACATCCTCAGGTTTAATTTGAGGGTATGTACATCCAAATTGGAGGAAGAGTTTAGGAATCACAGCTCTTAAGAGTAGCCACCCCCCCCCTTTTTCAAGGGACCAAAAGTAATTGGACAATTTAATCAAAAGCTGTTTCATGGCCAGGTGTGGGCTCCTCCATTATTTCCTCTTCAATTAAGCAGGTAAAAGGTCTGGAGTTGATTCTAAGTGTGGTATTTGCATTTGGAATCTATTGCTGGGAACCTATATCATGCGTTCAAAGGAGCCGTCCATGCAAGTGAAACAGGCCATTGTAAGGCTTCAAAAAACGAAAAAATCCATCAGAGAGATAGTAGCAACATTAGGAGTGGCCGAATCAACAGTTTGGTCCATTTTGAGGAAAGAACTCACTGGTGAGCTCAGCAACATAAGGCATGGAAGACAACAGTGATGGATGATCGCGTGCATTTCACTTGCTGAAGGCTTGAGGTGATTGTAGCCGTATTAGTGCATTTGCGACAGAAAAAATTGAATACTGTCCATGATACTTTTTTTTTATTTAACATACAATTTTGAGGACAAGCTTTTGGGGTATGTCCCCTTCTTCAGGGTCCAAGCAGTACTAATCACACAGTTTTAGCAGAATGTTAGAAGAGATGTGGGAGATGAAAAAAAAAAAAAAGACTAGAGATAAAACACAGCAAAAGCAAAGACAAGAGGGGGGGGGCAGCACTACAGAGGGAGTCATGCTTGAGGTGATAGTCATAAAACTCAGGCCGTTATCTCGTGTCAAATAGAATTATCATTCTTAGTTTAAAAGTTTTTCTTTCCTGAATGGATTTAAAATTTCCTTTAAGAACTAAAATATTGAGGTCTTCCATTGTGTGGCCTGGTTGTGCGAAATGGTGTCCCAAATGGTGCAAAAGTCATCTTCTTTATGTTCCTTGATGGTATATCCGTGCAAATTCATCCTTGTTTGCAACTTCTGTCCTGTTTTGCCAACATAAGATCCGTTGCTGCATTTTCTGCACTCGATAAGGTACACAACATTACTAGAGGTGTAGCTGTATGATCCAGAGATATTGAATATCCCTTTTCAGTGTTTGACACTTTTTGATGGCTTGATTTGGTTGCACAGTTTGCAGTGTTTTCTATTTCAGGGTTTGCTTCCATTATTTGTGACATCTTGATCAGAAGGAAGATTCCTACTGATTAGTTTTTTTCTGAGGTTGGGGAGTTGTCTGAAGGCCAGTATTGGGGGTTGCTGGAATATTTCTTTCAGAGTTCCATCCTCTGTTATGATGGGTTGTAAATCTTTGATTATTGTTCTTATCCCTTCTAGTGCTGGGTTGTATGTGGTTATTAGAGGTACACGGTTGTTTGTTTTTTTTCTCCTTGTACTGAAGTAGATTTTCTTTTCGGGTTCTCAAGGCTGTTTTTATGCTGGTTTTGTCCTTGTAACCTTTCTTATGGAAGGAGTCTGCTAGTGTCCCGAGATGTTTATCTCTGTCTCTTGGGTCAGAACATATTCGGTGGTATCTAATGGCCTGTGTATGATGGCACGTTTTGTGTGTTGGGGGTGGAAGCTGGAACTGTGGAGGTAGTTGCATCTGTCAGTGGGTTTCCTGTATATTAAGGTGTGAAGCGTATCATCCCTGATGTATACTGTGGTGTCTAGGAAGTTGACGTGTGTGTGAGAGTATTCAATTTTTAGTTTGATTGAGGGATGAAAAGTGTTGATCAATGAGTAAAATTGTTTTAGGTGTTCTTCACCTTCTGTCCATATGATGAAAATATCATCAATATAGCGATAGTATCTGTATGGTTTTTGTTCCATGCTGTTCAGGAATTTTTCCTCAAGATCAGCCATAAATAAATTGGCATATTGGGGTGCCATTTTACTTCCCATCGCAGTGCCCATACATTGGGGATAGATGTCTTTATTGAAAGTAAAGTAGTTGTGTGCAAGTATGAATTCAATGAGCTGTGTAACATCCTCAGCAGTGTATTTGTGGTTTGGTGAGGATGATAAGGATCTGTGACATGCAGCTAATCCATCCTTGTGAGGGATATTACTATACAGGGATACTACATCCATAGTCACTAGAAGTGTGTTAGATGGTAATTGCTGTATGTTGTTGATCTTGTTCAGAAAGTCAGTTGTGTCTTGCAGGAAACTAGCAGTATTCTTGACTAACGGTTTTAACATTTTTTCTTCAAAGCCTGAGATTTGTTCAGTGAGTGTGTTCATAACTTGCTGAATTTTTGCTGAAGGCAAAACGAAAAGGCAGAAAGGAGCCACAAACAAAGAACAACTGAAGACAGCTGCAGTTAAAGCCTGGCAAAGCATCAAAAAGGAGGAAACCCAGTCTTTGGTAATGTCCATGGGCTTCAGGAAGTCTTTGCCAGTAAAGGATTCTCAACAAAATATTAAAAATGAACATTTTATTTATGATTATATTCAACTGTCCAATTACTTTTGGTCCCTTGAAAAAGGGGGGATGGTTACTCTTAAGAGCAGTAATTCGTAAACCCTTCTCCAATTTGGATGTACATACCCTCAAATTAAACCTAAGAGTGTGCACGTTCAGCCCATATCCATTATATAACTATAGCTTGAATATGTTTTAGCAAAAATCTGAAAAAAAATAAATTAAATTAATAAAATAAATAAAAAAAATTGTGCCTGTGTCCAAATATATACAGTATGGACCTAACTGTACATGCTGGGCCCAAGCAGCAGTGGCGGCCAACAGAGTTCAATTACGATGTACACATGTAAACATTAACACAAATGTTTACATGCATACAACATAAAATACAGCTGGAAATACAGTCCAGGATGCAGCTATATCCTTTTTTTTTTGCTGCTGAACTCAAAGTTGCATATAGATATGCACAAGACAATGCGCTGCACGCAGTTTATTCAGCATGTGTGAACGAGGCCCTAACAAGTTAGAAATGGTAGAACCCATTGTTCTTTTCAGACAAGTTCCTCTGACAGTGTACAGTCATTCTATTGTAGAAGAACTAGATCAACACGAAATCTGTAAGCACGGAAAATTAGATTTTTGTCTTCCAGATCACTGAGAAAGAAACATTATCCGAAAAATAAACAAACAGTCACAGCCAAAGGAGCCGTCCCAACATTCCACAGTCAGCAGAAGTAAAACAGGTTAGAATATGCCTTGTGTGCACAATACAGGACTAAGAAGCAATGTGTCCAATGCACTGGAAACTTACAGCTGGAGTATAGATAGTCATTATATTGTTATCCATGTCATTCCAACTAGATATTTAAAAAAAAAAAAAAAAAAAAATTTTTTTTTAGCAAATTAATAAATCCTCTCATTTAGAGACAAATTTACTAAAATGTGAAGTGAACTGAACCTTAGCATGATTTATTCACACGTTGGTAGGGCGACGTTAACCTGTGATCACATCAAACACCCAGTTATGTAAAGAATGCTTTTTTAAAATGTCCTTACCCATGACTTGTTGTTTGAAGTAAACACAGGTCCGCCTCACCTTGCTTCATATCATAGTAAATTGGGTCTGCGGTTCCTTCCGTGATCACTACAGAACACAGCAGTGAGGTAGACGTCACAGGATGGAATCACAGTGTGCGGCAGGCAAAATAATTATCTTACACTTCCTGAAGTGTTGAATGCAGAAGGTTCTGAATCGCTGTAAGACCTCATTAAGACGGGCAAATAGCCTGCTGTGTTCAGATGAGTCTAAATGTCGGTGTCCAGGGTCAGTCAGAGTCCCTATTCGCATGTAACCGCTCGGGTGAGCAGAGCAGCAGGGTACAAATCTGGTTACGTCTGTTCGCACACAGTGCATGCAGCCAGACATATGAATGAGGCTTATAGGAAGGAGACCTTGTGGCTGGAGAGATTATAATACCTTTTCTATTGCAAGGAGCTAGCATTCAGGATCAGATGGACAGGACCGCTTCAAATGTGTTTGCTAATCCTAGAAATGTTCAGATCCAGTAATAACTCCTAAACTAACTGAAAGACCATCACTGAAAATGCTTTCCCCTAGACCAGCGGTTCTCAACCAGTGGGTCACGTCCCCTTTGGGGGTCGAACGACCCTTTCACAGGGGTTGCCTAAGACCATCAGAAAACACATGTTTCCGATGGTCTTAAGAACTGAGACACCGCTCCTCTATCCGTCTCCAGGTGGGTCCGCCCACATGCAGATACGCCCACATACGAGTAAGAGAACAGTCAGCAGTGATGACACCTGACCCCTCTGCCCCAGCCTATCATCTCTCACAACTTCTGCACCACCCATTGTCTGCACTGCTCCCCCAATCATCGCTGAGCGGCGACATCATCCCCAGCTCTAAATGCGGGGCGGGGCTTATCGGGATTAAACTAGAACTTGACCAACCAGACGAGGTGACGTGTCAACGGGAAGCGCCAGTGAAGAAGTTTTGACGCCCTCAGATTGGGTGTGGCCTCTGTCAGGGAGTCGGCTAGCTGGGGACTGGGTGGAGGAGGGGGAAGAGTGGATCCAAGATGGCGGTGGTGTGTGGAGGTGAGAGCGGGCCGTGTGTGAAGAGAGCTGGCTGCTCTGTGTGGTGGGGATGGGGGAGGTGTGACGCCTTGTATGGCGGGAATGAGAAGAGCTGCTGCAGTTATGAAGTAGCAACAAAAATTATTTTATGGTTGGGGGTCACCACAACATGACGAACTGTATTAAAGGGTCATGGCATTAGGAAGGCTGAGAACCACTGCCCTAGATAAAGGTGCCGTTTCTGAACAAGAAGCCTACTTACTTACCCTAATTTTAATATAAAGATAAACTGTACAATATGGACTACTTTCAATAGATCGTAGGATTCGAAGATCCCGAGAGTCTTCAAGAACTTGGTGAAGCAGAGAAGTACAATGTATCGGGTCAGCCTGTTAAAGAAACATAGTTAAGTACAGCATTCAAGTATTAGCAGAGCTACAATGACAATTACAATGAAACGCGTGTAAAAAGCTGGGGTTGATCTACTTAAGACACTTTGCACTAAAAAGCAGTTGCTCCAGGGCTTAGTAAATGAGGCAAAGCTAAAAGAATACCCAATCACATGGAAAACAAAACAGCATTTTTGCTTAGACATGATTGGATGATAGCAGAGCATCCCCTATTTACTAAGCTTTGGCACAACTGCACTTGAAAACTACGGTACACAGTGTTTTTGCCTTTAGTAAATCAAGCCTTGTGTCTGGTCAGTTGTGCAACAAAGTTTTCCATCCCAGAATGTTAATATAATGACAATCCTACTCCCCCCCCCCCCCCACACACACACATGTTGTAGTTAATAGAAGCTGAAGCTAGAAGACATAACCTGGATTTTGTATTTCAGCAGAAACCCTTAAAATGGTTTATTTCACACAAAGTTGATCTTGCAGTTCTGTGCAATGGATAGCAGACTGTGTTGGCCACCTAGGACTCTGTGGTGCATTTTACAGTCCAGCATCCAGAAGGAATTTTAAGGAACGGTCACTCTTACCTGTGGATTTTTACATTTATTTTAGGTAATGAAGACTGCAGCAGAAAGGTGAGACTCTTTGCTGAGGGTTACAGCATCAGGACACAGGTGGAAAGATTCCACTACTCTAAAAATAGAGAAATAAGTAAACACCAGCTGTGTGGAGGACTGGGACTGCCAGTGCTGCAGCAATTGAATCTCTAGGAAAATAGAAGGTTTGTGGTAGGCCCAATTATGGAGTTCTAAAGGTCCCTACAGTGGAAGTAAACTCACCTTGGCCCATGTCTCCTACGTCTTCTTCATTCAAGCCTCGCTCAGACTCCTCAGCATTTATCGAATCTGGGAATGTGTCTGTGCCCCCCCTCCATCATCATCCCATTCTTCAAACCCCGCCATGGCACTGTTGCGAACTGCAGTGACAGGGGTTGGATGTGGGAACTGACACTCTCAGATGTGTTGAATGCTAAAGAGTCTGATAAAGGTGGCTGTACTGGAAGAGAGGGAAGGTAGCAGAGACCGGATGCTGCAGAGATGGATATTCTCCCTCTTCTGATGCAGGGACCTGACCGTTTTATATCTGTAGAGACCCAATAGGATCTTTTTACAGCAAATCCGTGCTTGTCCCATGAAGGACAGAGCAACAGGTTCTCTTTAATCCCCCATTCCCAGTAGAATGAAGTCATCACTGCTTCATCTTCTACCCTTCCCTTCGGTTTCTTCCAGGTTCCGGAAACCACAGACATGCCACCGGACCCATCCCCCTCCCCTATCCACACTGTATGGAAGCCAATGCCTCCTAGGACAAGTGAATTGCATATCCCAGGAGACAATAGAAGCAGAGCATGTCAATCTCTGGACAGAGACAGGGGCCTGACCGAAATGTGGATGACTAAAAATAAATAAATAAAAAAAAGAGGAGGGGGGCATGTTGTGGAGGTGTGAAGGTTTAAGGGAAGCAAAGTCATCTTTTATTGTGAAGGTCTGCATTCACTCTACTGCTAGCAGGGAAAAACGCAGTACTTCCAGGTATGGTTGGAGAACATGATAGCACTGAGCCAACGACCACTGCAGTTACATGGGGAGAGTCTAGGGCCCTGCATAAGCTAAGCTTTCAGAGACTTGTAATGAACACATAGTAACCTCTTCTATAACGGAGCAAAAAAGGGAAGGGATGCGGTGCCGTGGGGGGGGGGGGGGGGGGGGAGGAAGGGATGCGGTGCCGGGGAGGGGAAGGAAGGGATGCGGTGCCGTAGAAGGGGGGGGGGGGGGGAAGGAAGGGATGCGGTGCCGTAGAAGGGAGGGGAAAGAAGGGATGCGGTGCCGTAGAGGGGAGGGGAGGGGAAGGAAGGGATGCGGTGCCATAGAGGGGAAGGAAGGGATGCGGTGCCATAGAGGGGAAGGAAGGGATGCGGTGCCATAGAGGGGAAGGAAGGGATGCGGTGCCGTAGAGGGGAAGGAAGGGATGCGGTGCCGTAGAGGGGAAGGTAGGGATGCGGTGCCGTAGAGGGGAAGGAAGGGATGGGGTGCCGTAGAGGGGAGGGGAAGGAAGGGATGGGGTGCCGTAGGGGGAAGGAAGGGATGCGGTGCCGTAGAGGGGAAGGAAGGGATGCGGTGCCGTAGAGGGGAAGGAAGGGATGCGGTGCCGTAGAGGGGAAGGAAGGGATGCGGTGCCGTAGAGGGGAAGGAAGGGATGCGGTGCCGTAGAGGGGAAGGAAGGGATGCGGTGCCGTAGAGGGGAAGGAAGGGATGCGGTGCCGTAGAGGGGAGGGGAAGGAAGGGGGATGCGGTGCCATAGAGGGGAAGGAAGGGATGCGGTGCCGTAGAGGGGAGGGGAAGGGATGAGGTGTGCCGAGGAGAGGAAGGAAGGAAAAGAAGGGATGTGCTGCCGAAGAAGGGAGAGAAAGGAAAAGAAGGGAAGGGATTCGGAGCTGTAGTAGGGAAGGGTTGCAGAGCTGTAGAGGGGAAGGGATGCGGTGCAGTAGAGGGGAAAGGGTGCGGTGCAGTAGAGGGGAAGGGGTACGGTGCTGTAGAGGGGAAGGGGTGTGGTAGTATGGGGGAGGGAAGGGATGCAGTGCTGTAGAGGGGAAAGGGATGCAGTGCTGTATAGGGGAAGGGGTGCGGTAGTATGGGGGAGGGGAAGGGATGCAGTGCTGTAGAGGGGAAAGGGATGCGGTGCTGTAGAGGGGAAAGGGATGCGGTGCTGTAGAGGGGAAAGGGATGCGGTGCTGTAGAGGGGAAAGGGATGCGGTGCTGTAGAGGAGAAAGGGATGTGGTAGTATGGGGGAGGGGAAGGGATGCGGTGCTGTGGAGGGAGGGGAAGGTAAGCGGTGCTGTATAGGGGAAGGGGTGTGGTAGTATGGGGGAGGGGAAGGGATGCAGTGCTGTAGAGGGGAAAGGGATGAGGTGCTGTAGAGGGGAAAGGGATGTGGTGCTGTAGAGGGGAAAGGTTTGTGGTAGTATGGGGGAGGGGAAGGGATGCAGTGCTGTAGAGGGGAAAGGGATGCGGTGCTGTAGAGGGGAAAGGGATGCGGTGCTGTAGAGGGGAAAGGGATGCGGTGCTGTAGAGGGGAAAGGGATGCGGTGCTGTAGAGGGGAAAGGGATGCGGTGCTGTAGAGGGGAAAGGGATGTGGTGCTGTAGAGGGGAAAGGGATGTGGTAGTATGGGGGAGGGGAAGGGATGCGGTGCTGTGGAGGGAGGGGAAGGGAAGCGGTGCTGTAGAGGGGAAGGGAAGGGATGCGGTGCTGTAGAGCAGAAGGGAAGCGGTGCTGTAGAGCGGAAGGGAATGGATGCGGTGCTGTAGAGCGGAAGGTAAGCGGTGCTGTAGAGGGGGGGAGGGATAGTATGGAAAGGGGGGCGGGATAATATTAAAGTGAACCTGTCACTGATAATGGACTAAGCACACAATATAAGCTCCGGTCACCTGGACTCCGGGGCATCCACAGGGCCCAGCCTGCCCGTACTCATCACATTACTGCTGTACTTGTCCTCCATGGCTCTCCCCGGACAGTCCTAGTCCCTCATCCGGGACAGCCGGATCCCCTATAGGAGGAAGGACCCCCGGCCCTCTACAGCCGCTGCTCCCCGCTCTGGGCGGAGGGTGCCTGGGAACACATGGAGGCGGAGAGGTGATAACCAGGCACAGGGACCATATTCTGGCTATACAGCCTCCAGTACTGCCAGCTCGCCGGCCCGTAGTGATGATGGAGCAGGAAGCGTCAGATGGAGGTGACGTCATCGGACTACGGGGAGCCGGCAGGGACAAGACTGCTGATAACTCATATCTGCCACATGGACGGGGAGGGGGCGCTCTATTACTCATTACTGAACCATACACTGGCTGCATTGAACTTGAAGGATGCAGAAAGTCCTTCACATGTTAGGGGACCTGTACTGAGGGAATAAGGAAGCCTGCCATTGCTTACCTCCTGTAAATGCTGCTCACCTGGCTCTAGTACTCTTAAGAGGTGACCTGGAGCAAGTCACAGTGAAGTCAGAACTTGTACAGAGGTCATTGGGTCATCATGACAGCCAGGCAGTTAACATCTTAAAGCAGACCCCCCTCCCCCACCCACTCTCAAGCATTGCACTCTTCCCCCCTCCTCTCACACAATTTCACATGTATTTATTTATTTTGAATAGCTATTTTCTGGACCCTTCCACAAATGGTGTCCCAGCCTCCTGGGACAAGGGGTGGGCAAGAGGGGCCGCCGCCCCCAGGGTGCATTAGTAGGGGAGGGTGCTTCTCACCACGCACATGCTCCAGCTCAGGGGCGGACTGACAACTCATGGGGCCCCCGGGCAATAGGGGATCATGAGGCCCCTGTGTCCTTGCCCAAACTCAAAAAAGCCTATGAAAAGGTACCAGGGGCATCTCATGGGGCCCCCTACTGACCCAGGGCCCTCGGGCAGTGCCCGAGTTTCCAAATGGTCAGTCCGCCCCTGCTCCAGCTACATCTGTCACGCTGTGCTCCAACGTGCTCACTCTCCCCCACTACAAGCATTTGCTAGTTGCTGGAAGGCAAGCAATTGGCCGCACAAGTACAGTGCACACCGCTTCCCTGCTGGAGCAAGGGGGAAGTATTGGTGCAGGGTGGTACACCCCATTCTTCTGTATGCGTTAGAGGGGGCGCGGCTCCTCATCCATGCCCTGGGTGCTGAACCAGCCTGTCCCAGTACTGCCTGGGACACTGACACATTCCTAGAGGTCTCATGGTAGCCAAAAAAGTTTTGCCTTCACTCAACAAGCTGAAGATAGGTTAATTGACTCCTGTCTAACCCTAGGTTCACATCTGTGCGGGTGGTGCCGCTGCGAATCCGCACGAAAATCCGTGTAACCGCACCACCCGCACAGAGAAATGCGGACCCGCAGGCGGTGTGCCATTAGTTCTAATGGCACGCCGCCCGCACTGGGAAGCGCAACCGTACTGGGAACCGAGGTTCCCGCGCGGGCTGCATTTTCCAAAGAAGTGCAGGGACTTCTTCCCTGCGTGTCACGGGGCACAGGAGTCCATTCAAATGAATGATCTCTTTTGCCCACGCAAAACGCGGCACGCACGGCCACATATATGTGAACCAGGGGTTAATGTCTAAATTGTCCCTAGTATGTGTATGTATGAATGTGAGTTAGGGACCTTAGACTGTACACCCTTTGAGGGTTAGGGACTGATGTGAATGTACAATATATATGTAAAGCACTGCATAAATTGATGGCGCTATAAAAGTACCTGTAATAAATAAACAGAAGGTGATTGGTTACTTTGCACAGCTGCTACAGTTTTGATAAATTACCTTTTTATCCTAGACAGAGGAAAATAACAAAAACAAAAAGGTCTGTGCGGAGAAAAGAATCCGAAATAAATATAAAATAGTTCATTCAGGCTTAATCTAATTCAGCATCAGGGTCGGGGCAGTATGGTTTACTCTGCGTAGTGAAAACCAAGTGCAAGAGTCAATCTGCGCAGCCACAAATCATATACAAGAATAAAAAACAAATAAACAACAAAAATGCTTTCAGGTTGCTGATATCACTGGTAGAGTGGAAACACCACACTTCCCTTTAGAGTCCAATTTTACCTTAAATAGTGCAGAGCAACCCAATAATGAACTCCAAATGTAAAAAAAAATTATTTGCGAGCAAAAATATTAAAGTCAAGAGTCCCAATCTGTGACATCCACTTCCGTGACAGAAAATGCACAGAATGATCCTTTTATCTTTACTGACGCCTAACTACACCCGTGTTCTCCACCACGTTCAAAGTCCAATCCACTCACCTTATAATGACCTCGAAATATTATGAGGTCACAGCCAGCATGATAAACTTCATGCCAGTGTCAGGTGCACGTCCCCTTTAACCCTTTCATTGCCAGGTCCATATGTTGTATGGACCTGAGAGCTGGGGGGTTCTACATGCACTCCCGGTAGCTGCAGCCATTGGAATTGTGTGTAAATCTGACAAGCATACTCCTGCCTGTCAGATGGAAGCATTCAGGCTGCCACTCAATTGCTTTTACACACCCCCAGTAGCAGTGCCCCCCTGTGCCCCTGCCATGTGTCCCAAGCTCTGCTTGCCCATCTGCGAGCCCAGGACCGGCACAGCAGGAAGAGGAGAAAGAACAGAGAAGACAAAGGTCCGCTTTCCTCCCCTTCTTGTTGCTGGCCCGAAACAACTTGGGAAACGTAACTTCCAGGTCCCCATGTATGGCCGGGAAAGAATCTAATGTGAGATCTGCACTGCATTAGATTCAGTGGAGCACAAGGGAGACATCCAGGGTCTTTTAGACCGTAAATGTCTCATTAGTCTAGGCTCACACCTAAGCATTTTCTGCTGCGCTTTACGGAAACGCACAGCAGTCCATTTAACATGATTTCCTATGGGACATGTTCACATCTCTGCGTTTTCACCCAGTGCGTTTTTTGGAAAGGGTTAGGGACTTTTTCTAACACAAACCGTTGCACTTTTGGTTCTATAGACTTTAATGGAAACACTACAGAAAAGAATGTAGTGCGTTTTAGCTGTGTTTTTTACGTGTTTTGTATGCATTTTGTATGCATTTTAATCTGACTAGCAACAAGAAAAAAAAAATGCAAAACACACGTGCAAAAACGCAAAACGCACTGCAGAGACGGATCAAATGGAAACTGCATATGTGTGAACCTAGCCTTATACCGAACCTGTCACCAAAAAATCAATACATAGGGGTCTTTCTGCCCCTATGTGATGAGAAAAATATTCAGTAACACGTTAAGTTACACCCAAACACATAAAATCCCCCCCCCGCATAAACATTTTAAGGCCCCCACCCTCACATATATGCATGTATAAAAGTACTCGACGGGGGCACCTACACATGCAATACACTTGTTACATATCACCATGCACACCGAAGTGAGAGCAATATTTCTAGCACCAGACCTTCTCAATGTGTTTTCACACACCCACGGTAATGGTGCCCCCCCCACGCCACTGCCATGTATCCTGGGCCTGGGACCGGCATAGTGGGTGCCGCTGGTTAGAGGGGAAGGAACAGAACAGACACAGGTCCACTCTCCTCCCCTTCTTGGTGCTGACCCGGAAGCAACATGTAAAACGTCACTTCTGGGTCCCCATGCATGGCCGGGAAAGAATCTCATGTTGTGTGATCTGCACTGCATTCGATTCAGTGGCGCACAGAGGAGTCTCATTAAGGAAAACCTGTCACCAAAAATCATTACATAGGGGACGCCATGCACACCGGAGTGAGAGCAATATTTCTTGCACCAGATCTCCTGACTATTGCTAAACGGACGCCCTACAGGGGGCTTTTAAAGTGTTGCCTCTGGAAAATACAGGGTACTGAAGTTTGTCACCATTTCACTGATGCACGCAGATTTAAGGTTTATTATGTTGGGAATCTATTTACTCAGTAAAACCTCTTCTTTTATATTTAACCAAAACACTAGGTAATTTATTGCATTTGTGTGCGATAAAATTTCCTTTAGTGTATTTTTTACTGAAATGTATTTCCTAGACCTTTTCAGTAAAATTGTGTGACATAGAAGCTCAAATACACTCATAGGAAACACCAGCACACACAGTGCTATATAGATCTCTCTGTATTGGACTCCACAGCCAGCAATCCCAATTATATGGCAAACTCACAGCATGATGGCGGTTTCAGTTCCAGGCTCTATTCCCTATATGCGTTACGCCCAAGGGTTGGGCTTCACCAGCAGGAAAAAGGTTCCAAAATTACTGCAGGGATACAGCATAGTGCTATGAGGTTCCCAGCATGGGAAAACACTCCGTATTGCCTGCACTGGCATGGCCCCATCAGACACTAACAGTGTACAAGTACAATCTACCTTGTGAAGTGACCATTTGTCCCATCTCTCTGGTTTACTGCAAGAATATGAAGGGTGTAGCTGGGTGACATGGTTATCCACCATTGTTCAGTGCTGGAGAGACTGAAGGAGGCTACAGCTCTGAACCAGAGGGGAGGTAGGAGTCATGGGCCATTGGAGAGGGGAGTATGAAATCGCTTCTCTTGCAGGGCACCATTCTTTAGAATGGTCTTTTGCACAGACAGGGTTCTTTTATCTACAATCAATAAAAAATTCCTGCTCCACCTGCCTGTAGTAAAAGCATCTCAAACAGGTGCATCATGGGCCATATGCAGACCACTCTTTTTCACTCTTTTTCAGTGGCACTCAGTCACTAAACCATTTATTTTAGCACAAACCTTTCCTTAGGATTATATATATATGTGTTTAATGCATGTTTATGTTATTTATCTGTAAAAGCCTCCCTTGTGTAGACATTTAATGCCTTGCCACTGGGTACCACTTGCCCTTTAAGGGGTTCTCAATGTGAGGAGGTGAGCTTCCTGATCATGTGATCTTTGTGATTTTCTGTGGCAGTGATCATGTGACTGGGAGCCTGTCCCCAGTTCTCCATCATAAACTGGGACCTGGAGCTGTCGATGGCAGTTCTATTACTGTGCCGGGGATGGCGCATATGCATGCTGTCAGCACAACACAGCGGCGCAGGGTGTACTCACATATGGCCATCCAGTGATAAAGCCCACTGCCATGCTGTCACATATATGTGTACAGCTGGTGGCGGGTGATTAAAAGCCCCGAGACTGCTTCTGGGCACTGCCTGCTTGGATGTGATACCAAGACGGAGGCGTAGGTGGGACAGAACACATGCGGAGAGCAGTGGAGAACACAGGGCTTTTATTTAAAGATTTTGACGGTACACGGTGAGAATAGCAAGGTTTTGGCAAACAAAAGTTAAGTCTGTACCACAGGGTAGAACGCCCAACAAAGAGCCCGCAATAAGGCGGAAGATTGGCAGGCAATGGGTAAGTCCAGACCCACAGCGGAAGACAACTCTGGCAGGCAATGGGTTAAGTCCCGACACGCGGCAGAAGGGCAGACTGGCAGTCAATGGGTAAGTCCAGGCACACAGCAGAAGGGCAGGCTGGCAGGCAATGGGTTAAGTCCCGGCATGCGGCAGAAGGGCAGGCTGGCAGGCAATGGGTAAGTCCAGGTACACAGCAGACTGGCAGGCAATGGTTAAGTCCGGGCACACAGAAGAAGACAGACTGGTAGGCAATAATTCTGGGCACACAGGAGAAGACAGACTGGTAGGCCATAGGTAAGTTGGCAATGAGTAAGTTTGGGCACACAGGAGAAGACAGACTGGTAGGCCATGGGTAAGTCCGGGCACACAGCAGAAGGGCACACTGGTAGGCAATGAGTAAGTCGGGGCACACAGAAGAAGACAGGCTGGTAGGCAATGAGTAAGTCCGGGCACACAACAGAAGGGCAGACTGGTAGGCAATGGGTATGTCCGGGCACACAACAGAAGGGCAGAGACTGGTAGGCAATGGGTAAGTCTGGGCACACAGGAGAAGGCAGACTGGCAGGCAATGAGTAAGTCCAGGCACACAGCAGAAGACAGACTGGTAGGCAATAAGTAAGTCCGAGCACACAGCAGAAGGCAGACTGGTAGGCAATGAGTAAGTTCGGGCACATAGCAGAAGGGCAGACTGGCAGGCAATGGGCAAGTCCGAGCACACAGCAGAAGGCAGACTGGCAGGCAATGGGCAAGTCCGGGCACACAGCAGAAGGCAGACTGGCAGGCAATGGGCAAGTCCGGGCACACAGCAGAAGGCAGACTGACAGGTAATGGGTAAGTTCGGGCACACAGCAGAAGGCAGACTGGTAGGCAATGGGTAAGTCCGGGCACACAACAGAAGGGCAGACTGGTAGGCAATGGGTAAGTCTGGGCACACAGCAGAAGGCAGAGCACAGGTAGCAATTCAGGGACTCACCAGCCAGCAGTGGCCTCAGCAGAGGAAGTTTAGGCAGATAGGCACCAACTCCTCACGGGTCTTCAGAGGGCTGTGTGTCTTGGCCGCAACTTCAAGACCACACAGGCAACGTAGAACCACAAGTCCCAGCAGTGCACAAAGCAAAGCACAGTTCAATGCATCACCTAGCAAGGCCTGCAGCCATGAGCTGCACTCCCCCATCCTGACTCAAACTCTGCCTTCTCCCCCCATAGGGACAATATATGGCCCTTTCAATTTGACCAAGCCTCAAGCTCACAAAACACAGGTGCTGACATGTCTGGCTTTTCAGTCACTGCACAGGACACCATGCTGTCTGTGCTCCCTGCTGGGATAAATCTCATCTCCCACCCCCTGCGGGCACAGGAACTCCAAATTATAAACAAAGCAGACAAGCTGACTGCTGACCACACGTGTTAATGTCAACAAAACAACACAAAATAAAATAATATTTCTGCTGTCCATCACAGATACCAACACCATAATATCCCAGACAAAGTCTGCACAGCCATGAAATATCAAAAACAGTCTTTATTAGAAAGTAGAAAATAATATTGATAAGCATTGCAACTGCATCATATTATCCCCACGAGCTTGAATATGATAACTACAATTAAAACCATTATCAGAAGGAAAGATCCATAAGCCGCATATAGAAGGCAGACCCATGTGCATGAAATGAGATGAATGGCAGCTTCAGCCCAGACTCCAGCCAAGCCACTCCCCCAATTGCATTTCACTCCGCCCCTACAATTAAAACCATTACCTGAAAGATAAGCCAGTCCTCTTCTGCCAAATAACTCCCAAATACAAAGTTAGCTTCCAAAGAAATCCTTTCTCTGAACCAACCTGGGTCTTAATGGGTACATATGAATAAAGGTAAAGATGTATAGCCCATAGGAAAGTAGCAAATGTATACGTACAGTATATACCTGTATAGTGATATACTCATCAAATGTATATGGCCTCATGCACACAGGGCCTAACAGAATGCTGCTTTTTCCATAATTTGTGTGTGGGGGAAGGGGAGGACATTGCTTTTCTGTGCTTTTACCTGTATATTTTAAAACCCATGACAGGGCCTCTTTAAGGAAAAGACAAACCTGAATGTGCCTTCAGCTGTTCTGTAGTTGAAACTTTTCCTTGCATAAATTTACAGCTAAATACTTCAGAAAATGTTTTATGGCCAATTTTGTTCTGCAATTAATAATGGTAAGTTATAATGTTAAAGTCCAACTCCAGGCACAAGAATAAAATAGCCTTGCAGTGCCCCCTCCACCCCACACTAAGAAGGGTTAAATGCTTATTAAAGTGGTTGTAAACCTCTGAAATGAAAAATGAACAATGCACATCCCTCTATAGTGTGTACTTGCCTCAATCTAAAGCACCTAGTCTACTTCCTGTCTGATCTCTCTTCACTATCTACATGACTCACTTCTGACAGTCTAACTCGACACCACAGAATCCTGGACGATGGCCCCGCCCTCTCCAGCACACAGGAAGTGATTGACAGTTTCTGCTGTGCATGTTTCCCTATTATTCTGTCTGGGGTGTGTCTCCATAACCTCCACTTGGGTCTGAGAATTACACCGAAATCTCCTTTCTAGTCTGTGCAGTGTGTGACATTAGATCCCTGCCACCTGCCTGCTGGAGCTGAGAAAAATCCTTTGATCTGTGTATTTTAGAAGGCTATAGAGGGAGGGCTCAGATAAACAGGTACAACTCCGTGTATCACCTGAGGTTAGGCACTTCACTGGGTATATATTTAAGGGTTACAACCACAAATCTAGGGTTATAGTAATAAAAAAAACGTTCCTTACTCCTTGCTGCAGCAGGCTTCCTTTATCCGTGTAACTGGTCCCCCAAAGTATCTTCTCTTAGCTGCTCCCGGCCGTGGTTGCACATTTGCCTTTTCCACGTATAATGTAGGGCTAATAGTCCTGCATTGTACGTGATGATGACATAGCAGGACCGCCCACAGCTTGGAGCGAAGGAGAGAACAGGAGTGTGCCGGAGCCTGCTGGAGTGAGGGTTGCGGTAAGTAACACAGCCTCTTCTCCTGAATTTACTGAGCATTTAACCCTTGCAGTGCAGAGGAACCCACTGCAAAGGTTTTTGTTTTTCCAGCCCAGGCTGGGCCATCATTTTTTTTATTGAAATAAGTCCTCTTGATTTAGCACAATTACATCTGATCAGGGGCGGACTGACCATTTGGAAACTCGGGCACTGCCTGAGGGCCCGGGGTCAGTAGGGGGCCCCATGAGATGCCCCTGGTACCTTTTTCATAGGCTTTTTTAAGTTTGGGCAAGGACACAGAGGCCCCATGATCCCCTATTGCCCGGGGGCCCCATGAGTTGTCAGTCCACCCCTGCATCTGATATGCCTGCTCTAGCATATCTACATTAACCACTTGCCGTCCGCCTGCTGTTTATAAACGGCAGGGCGGTGGCAGTCCAGGGGCGGGTTGCCGTTCATAAACGACACCCGCCTTTTCTAGCTGTGCGCGCTCCCTGGGAGCGCGCAAAACGCGATCCGGTGCCCGCTGTGTCCTCCGGACACAGTGAAACACCGATCGTCGGACTGGACCTCTGTACAAGGTCCCGATCATGTGATCACTGATTGGCCAATCAGTGATCACATGCAAACTAGTAAGCAAGATGTCACTTGTGACATCATTGCTTACTACGTGTGAAATCTGTGAATGATCACAGAGGTCACATGGTACAAGGCTATTCACAACAGCCTTGTACCATGTGACAAGCTGTGACCAATCACAGCTCACTCAGTACTTCTCAATGACTGCAAGAATGCAGACAGAGAGAAAGAGAAATGATTGCTTTTACATCCTATATGGGTGTAAAAGCAATCAGTGTAAAAAAAAAAAAAAAATCTTCATCACCCCCCCTGTACTGCTAGGGTGACAGTATGTAAAAAAAAAAAAATAATAATAATATAAAATTGTAAAAAAAAAATGTTTAAAAATTATAATTTTTGGTTATAAACTAATTTGGATTTTTTTTTTTACTAACTAAAAAAATAACGGAATAAATTTTGGCCATTTTTATACCCTAAAACCAAGGTTGCGTACCAGGCAGTGTCCTGATTTTTTGTCTTCTGCTCTGCTGTGGAAAGTACTTCTTGGTGTTCCCATGTAACTTCCTGCTGACATTGGATCACACACTGGTTATCAAAAGGTCTATCAAAGCATCTTCATACAATCCCAGCAGGGTCTTACAGCGCTGGTGTCATGGTGACAGCAACAAGACCCGCCAGCTCCGGAGAGGGCAGCTTGTGAACACCAGTCTCCCTTACAGGGAGAGGTGTCACAGATGGTCACATGACCATCCAGCACATTCAGGTAAGGTACAATCAAATTAAAAATTTACCAAAACTATGTAATATGAAGACAAACCTAAACAATCCATTGAATTTATATTTATTCACACTGGCTGCCACATTACATAGTTTATTAATTCAGGTACTTATTTACACAGTGCTATATATATATATATTGTACATCAGTCTCTAACCCTCAAGGGGTGTACAATCTAAGGTCCCTAACTCACATCCATACATACACATACTAGGGACAATTTAGACAGGATCCAATTAACCTATCAGCATGTCTTTGGAGTGTGGGAGGAAACTGGAGTACCCGGAGGAAACCCACGCAGGCACAGGGAGAAACTCCAGGCCGGTGGTGCTGTGGTTGGGATTCGAACCAACTGACCCTAGTACTGCCAGGGGGAAGTGCTTACCACTTAGCCACTGTGCTGCTGGCCGTTGTTGATAGATCTAGAGGTGATAATACACCATACAATATGATTGTTCAATCGATTTTAAAACTATCATTAACCATGTTAGGCAAGGGCCTGCCTGACTGATACAAATTTAATAGATTGTTTAGGTTTTTTCTTCTTCATATTACAGTTTTCATAAATCTTAAAGTGGTTCTAAAAGGCGTAAGATTTTTTACTTTAATGCATTCTATACATGAAGGTGAAAAACCTTCTGTGCAGCATCCCCCCCAGCCCCCCCTAATACTCACCTAAGCCCCTCTCGATCCAGCAATGTGGACTGGAGTCTTGGCTATCCCAGGAATTCCTCTTCTCATTGGCTAAGACAGAAGCAGGAGCCATTGGCTCCTACTGCTGTCAATCACAGTCAGTGAGCCAATGAGGACAGAGGAGGCAGGGCCAAGTTGTGGCTCCCTGTAATAATGGACACACAAAGCAGCAGGTGCCCCCATAGCAAGCCACTTGCTGTGGGGGCACCCCAACAGGAGGGAGGGGCCATGAGCTCCGGTGGGGGACCTAAGAAGAGGAGGATCCGGACTGCTCTGTGCAAAACCACTGCACACAGCAGGTAAGTATAGACATGTTTGTTATTTTTTCTTTAAAAAAAAAAAGCCTTTAGAATTATTATTGTTATACAGTATTTATAAAGCGCCAACAGTTCGCTCAGCGCTGTACATTACAATGGGAGACAGTACATGCGACAGTACAAAACAATACAATGTGATACACGAGGGGTTCGAGGGCCCTGCTCCTTGGAGCTTACAATCTAGGAGGGAGGGGATAGTGGTACAGGAGGAAACAGCTGTGGGGGATGGAGTGGTAGGAAGAGTGGAGGTGTGAGTGGTCTCTGAGTGGTCGGATCTGGAGTGATCACTTTAAGCTGACCATACACTATACAATCTGATTGTACAATCAACTTAAACCTGGCCATACACTATACCATCTCTGTACAATCACCTCCAGCATTACCAAAACTGTTTAAAAGGAGGGCACACCTTCCATAGCTAATGTAAAGGAGATTGTGCAATCAGATTGTATAGTGAATGGGCACCTTTATCAACAACTAGGACTAGCAATGGATTGTTCAGGCAACCCATAGAATAATCATGTGGATTGAATTAAAAAAAAAAAGACTTGATTCCCCTATCCACACACTCAAGGTGGATAGGGGAATCCTCCTCCCTGAGCTATTGTGATCTGACAGCAGGAAGACTACGGCACCATCTGAATACACTGATCAGTGTTGCAGGCTGATCGATCGGGGAAAATCCAACAGGGTGGTTATACAGAAGACGATCAGTAGACTGACTGTTGTACAACCTCTTTGCCCATTCATGGATTGAAATTCTGTCAGTCCCTGCTGAACGGAGCACATATTGATTCATGTATGGACAGCTTTAGATTTATCCCTAAATTACATTTAAAGGAGATTGTATGGAGATTATACAATCAGATTGTCTTGTGTATGGTCACCCTTCTGATGTCCATACACGGTGCTATAAAACAATTGATCTAAACTGATCAAGCTAAAAACTGAGCACACGGCAAACATGGTTCATTCAATGTTGTATTCCTGGGTACACGAGTTTGAATTTCACATAGAACGTTAATGTATCAAGGTGAATGGATGGAAGCACATAGTCTTCTTTTGTGGAAATCGCATAGGGTGTGAAAAAGCTTGATGGACCCAACATGATCATTTTTTTTCCCCATAACCAATAGACTTGGGTCAATTGAAACACTTTCTGTTGCTCTTTGTTGTTCACACTATTTTTGCTCATTTGATGTCCAATTCGATAGTTCAGAATTAGCACACATTCACTAAAACTGGAGAGAGCAAAATCTGGTGCAGCTCAGAAACCAATCACCTTCCAGGATTTATTGTCAAAGCTTAATTGAACAAGTTGAGATTAGAAGCTGATTGGCTACCATGTACAGCTACACCAGATTCTGAGTGCACCGGTTTTAGTAAATGTACCCCCTTGTGTGGCTACCAATAAAAATTGTACAGAGATTGTACAATCAGATTGGAAAGTGTATGGTCAGCTTTAGAAGCTTTAAAAAATACAGAGCAGCTTGAAGATAGTGAGTGGGAAACATCAGAGGTCTTTTTTTCTCTGGAATTCAACTTTAAGACTCCATTCACACTTGTGTGACTTTAAAAGTGTGCGACTTTACAGTGCGACTTGATGCGATTTAGGATTATTATTATACAGGATTTATATAGCTCCAACAGTTTGCTCAGCGCTTTACAATATAACGGGAGACAATACAGCAACAATACAGTTCAATACAAGAGGGATAGGAGGGCCCTGCTCCTTGGAGCTTACAATCTAGGAGGGAGGGGCTAGTGGTACAAAAGGTAATAACTGTGGGAGATGGACTGGTAGGAAGAGTAGAAGATTCCATTATTAGCTGAGGGCAGGATAGGCTTCCCTGAAGAGATAGGTTTTCAGAGATCGCCTAAATGTGAGCAGAGTAGGCAATAGTCTGATAAATTGGGGTAGAGAATTCCAGAGGATAGGGGAAGCTCTGGAGAAGTCCTGGAGACGAGCATGGGAGGAGGAGACAAGGGAGCTAGAGAGCAGGAGGTCGTGCGAGGAGCGGAGAGTACGGTTTGGGTGATATTTGGAGAAGATCGGTGATGAGTGCGACTTTGGTGCGACTTTGGATTTGACCGAAGATAATTGTTTCAACATTACAAAGTCGCACACAACTTGCATGTACAACATTCAGGTGCGACTTTCATGCTACTTTGGAGGGTTTACATTGAAGTCTATGGCCCTCAAGTTGCATGAAAGTCGCAACAAAGTAGTGCAGGAACTACTTTGAAGTCGCTGCGACTTGAAGTCGTACAGATAGGAATGGTACCCATTGAGAAACATGGGGGGGGGGGGGCGACTTAAGTCACATCAGTGTGAATGAAGCCTAAATGATTTTACTTTCTCAGTATGAGTCCTGTAAAAAAAAAAAAAAGCAAAAACTGGAATAAATGTAAGTAAAATCTGCATGCTGTTATAAATGCACATCATTCCACTTTGCTAATTACTAAACTCTCACATTGTTTAATCTCTACTCTCATTACATGATATGACTTAGTTTATGATTTGTATCCTCTACTATTTATAACTTTGGTATGTGATATACTCCATATGTAATCTGATGTGGGAATGGAGGCAGGCTAGCAGCTTATTTATTGGTTAATACAGATCTGCAGCATGGAGGAAGAAACGTGTCTCCAGGAGAACATAGTTCTACATCATTGCTTTTTTTGGATGTGTGTACCTTGTGATCATACTGTCACTAGACAGCTGTGCTCCTATAGTATGGGCCAGGAGCCAATCAAGAGAAGTCTTGCTCATGTGGCCACAGCAACAGCCACTGAAAAGCTTACAGTAAATTAAACTAGTCCCTGTATCTAGCCCCACTCCCAATGTCAGATCAGTTGTATCCATGGAAGAAAAAAAAAGATTCTTGTTTCATTTTTTTTTTTTTTTGCCACTTAGAAACAAAAAATAGACAGTTACGTTAGTTTTACATTGTGTATGTAACAGGCACCTGTTTTGGTAAAAAAATACAATTTGTAGCAGA